TTTTAGGTGTAGTAGTGGACCCGTCTAATTATAAAACCGGCCTGTGATGTACATTTATTCCGTGTTTAAAACCAAATCTGTCGCGGTCGTGTCGTTTCCGGAGCTTTTCTCTGGCAGTTAACGCGGGTCTTCGAGCTCAGGCTGAACAATATCTCCACTTACCTGTAACGGAAACGTCGCCGACTTGTTCCCTACGTAACCCCTGACAACATGACTCTGGATAGACAAGACCCGACACTCCATTACCACGGTTTAAAAACACCCGAGAGAGGCTGCGGACGGATTTCAACCTAAAACCAGCATCTAAAGACGAGTGACACGCTGAAAGATAGCAAATGAAGAGTCCACCATTAAAGGCCACGAGACGCCGTAACGCTGCTGCTGCTTGGACGGTGTTTTTCTTCAGGCAGCTGAAAGGACACCTAACGTGAGGAGTTCAATGAGTGCAAACAAAAGTGGGAGACGAGAGCTTTGAGGCAGAGAAGAGCTCTTCAGGGCTAGTTCAGGGGATTTTCCAGTGGAGTTGTGGTTAAGGGCTAAATAAGCGGAAGCGGTTAATGTCTAACATGAGTTTTTAATTAGCATAAATCTAGAGGGCTTATGAGACTTAAACTGAGGACTAGTCAGAGAGGAATGCTAATTCTGCTGTCGAACCTCAGGAAAGGTTAATAAAATGCTGTTTTATGAATCTCAAACTACAACCACTTTATGTTGACTGCATAGAATTAAATGATTATTTTCACGATAAACAAAAATGGGAAGTTATCTGCCACCCTCACAGACACTGAGAACAAATAGTAAAGTGTTAAAATCAAAATAATTAAAGCATATTGAGTCATCCCATTTTATTGGTTTACACATGGTTCAACTATAAATTTTCATGTATGATTATCAGTTTCCATTTAAAAAAACCATTCATGCAAATGTGATAATTTTCAAAGATGTTCCTATAGATTATGTTGTTTTTAGACAATAGGAGTATGCCTCTCACATAGTTATAAGCTGTGATGAATGTGATTTTATGTCAGTTTCATCCATAAATGATTGCAAAAATAGTAACAAAGTATGTTTTTTGAGATAATCCATATTCATGAAGTGTATAAATATAATTTGGCTTTATGAAAGATGGACATGGCAGATCCTAATACATGTCTCATGAGGAACACTTATCCTTACTTTTGAACTATTTGCTCTAGATTTACTCTTTTCAAAGGTTTCTTGCTAAGCAGCAACAGCATTTTCGACACTGAGGTTTCTCTGCAGGTTGCTGCATTCCTGTTTAGAAAGAAATAGCAGGAAGTGACATAACAGTCATTACTTGCTCTCTAGAAAATGCTGCCTGCAGCTGTACTGAATTTATTATTACTTGGAAATTTTCATAAAGTGTAAGTACATACAGTGTAACTGCAGAGTTCAAAACTCATCATATATATATATATATGCATAAAAATATTCCAAAAGAAACTAGTTTTAAACATATATATAAAAGTTGAATAATAAAAGTTCTTATTGTTATTCTTAAATCCTAACATATTAATCTATCAGATTAACATCTGTTGTGTTATGTTTCTGTTGACCACTAGAGGGCACAAGAGAACAGAGATACAATGAGCGTTTCAATGAAAAATTGTAATTTAACTAAAACTCAGAGCTCTAAGTGCACTGGAATATTTTTTATGCATGTTCATTTCAAGTTTATTACTTTGTAAATAATAGCATTTGTCATGATTTGAAGAAAAGAAACTAGTTTTAAACAAGTTACCCTCTTGAAAAGAATGAAAGTGTTTCTGTCTTTGTCCTTTATTCAAACACTTAGCCATTGTATGGGTATAGCTGTGATTTCACAATCTCCACTTAAAAATAACATTGAATCATATGAGGTTGTTTAACCTGCTAAAAGAGCCTCACCTAATATAAAAACTGTTGGGATATTAAAGAGATAAAGCAAACCTGTGAGTTGGCTGTTCTGGACTTCTGAATGGAGGTCTTGGTATGAAATGGGGGAGACTTTAACGACATGCAGGTGAACATGAATGACCCAAACATAAAGCTTTCTGCTCCGACACCTGGGTGAGGAGCACAGAGGCCACACAGAGCAGCGAGGGAGCCAGGTGGAAGAGCTGAAAGCTAATCATCAGCAGCATGCCTGCAGGGCAGCTGCAGCACAAAACCTTCACAGAAGCTTGTTAATAACATTTTCCTCACTGTGAGCCAATAACTAGTGTGTGTCAGTGTATTATTCTAGATGCATCTCCGACGTTTATGTAAAACAGAAACGAAAATAAACTGCAAATTGCAGTCATTTTGGAAATAAATTATGTTTTTTTTCCAATATGAAAGACAGACTGATTCTATTATAGGCCTGTGCATCACAATCCAAGAAGATTGGAGGATTAAGGTTTATGACGACAGCGCAGAGTAATAATCCCTGTCAGTGTTAAGCAGTTATAGCATCCTCTACTGAGGGTCAGAAGAGGAAACTGGACCCAAAAATGCATTAATTTAATCAAAACTAGGAGAAAAACATGGAAAATAAATCACAAATACATTCAACTTTAAATACAGACACTAAAAGTATTTTCTTTTTTTTTAAACTTTATATAAAGAACTCTTGATGAGGCAAAACATTGACCATTAAATAATAATATTTAGTTAAAGTAACAAAAGTTATCTTCTATAATGTCAATTTCAAAAATTGATTCAGGTTTTAAAAGGTATGTCTATACAAAAAATTTAATCTGTGATGAATGAGATTGATTAGAAGAAGAAAAAAGTAATCCCTTGTCAATAGAAGAGACTGTTTTCTTTAAACACTGTTACAATCAGAACCTTGTAATTTGTTGTTATGTATGCCTGGAAAGTAAAATCATATTTATCCTTTTTTCCTTTTTAAATGTAACGTGCAAAAACATCTTAAATTACTTTATATAAGGAATCATGAAGAACTGGATGACAGTTTGATATTAAGTTAGCTAAAATGTCTTTTTTTTACAATAATTATTCCATGTCAAACTCATTTTGAAAGATGAAGGAATGACAGAAAATCCAGCCTAACTTTTATGTTGTAAGACATAAACCTGATTTTAGCAACACAAGTCAATAACTGCTTATTTTTCTCTATTTTATTCATTCAAATACCAACGGAACTCAATTCATTGACAGATTTCAGGCTACAAACTTGTATAATTAAAAAAATAAATTGTATAATCTTCCACTCCACATCTCATGCAATAGCCATACTGGATTTTTATTACAGATTTGGAGAGAAAGCTCTTGTTTCTTTAAACTTCTGCACCATCACAACAGCTCTAAATGACACTTTCATTACAATCAATTAAAAATTAAAAATGAAGTTTTTGTTTTGAGTTTACCAAGCTCTGACCTCAGAATTCATCATTGTGTGTATAAGAAAGAAAACACTATGAAATTTTGGCAATTTAAATCACTAAATTACTTGAGTAAATAATACTGGAAATCAGTTTGTCACGATGTAATCTTAGTATTTAGCTACTCAAGATACTGAATTGTAGGGTTATTAGCATATGTGGCTAATAATACTTAGCCTGGCAATGCTAATTTTATTAGTTTTTGACTTCATCTGTAGTTTAACTCTATTGGATGTTTCATCAACCATTGATTCTAGTTTTGACTTCAAGGAAAAGCAGAAAAGATGGCAATCCGATGGGAACTGCAGAGGAGGTAAAATCCCACAGGGATAGGAAAATCTCTGAACAGGATGATTATTAGTCATACACTCCACAAATCTGGCCTTAATGGAAACCAGAGCTGAAAGAAAGCCATAAGCCCTTTGAAGGACACAGGAAGCTTATCATAAATTGGGTCAGTAAAGACCAAAAATGTGTTTGTTTTTGTTTCTTTTCTTTGTTTTTTGTCTAAAATGCAATGCATGGGGGAAACACAAAACAAAGAATCCCCATGCAGTGAAACATAGTGGTGGTATTGTCATGGTGTGTGAACACATTTCTTAACCAGGATTGAAAAGCTGTAAAAGGTTGTGTAAAGTTGGATGAACCTACATACAGAGTTATTTTGGAACCTGACCGCAAGGCTTAAAACCAGATCAGAAACTCGCTCATTGCAGGATGAATAAAATGGAATGGTTTGAATTAAAGAGTATTCATGTACTTCAGCAGTCTATAACTAAATACAATAAATAATTTGCACCAATTTGCACTGAGTGCATCTACAAAGTGCATTGGAGATTTTTATTTTCTTTTGCAATTATGTTATTCATATTCATTATTTTCAATGTCAATACAACTTTACTTTTTAAATGTATGAAATATATTTAACAAAATGTTAAATATTAAATGATATTTTAATCAGTTTCTCAGTACTTGAGTCACCTGTTTTACCAAATATATTTTCACTCTTAGGGTTTTTAAGTGGCTACTTTTTACTTTTACTAGAGCAAAAATATGTTGCTCTTATTTGAGTAAATTGTTTGGGTAACCCATCTCTGTCACTGGCACGTGTCTTTAAATCAGAACATGTCATTTTTAATAACTGCACTGTGTTGTTTTATATTATTTTAAGTTCTGTTTTTGTATTTTTGTTTATATATAGATGATTTGACTTGCCTGCCACTGTGCTGAATTTCACTATTCTATTCTATTAGAATAATCTATTCTATTCTATTAGAATAGAATAGATTTTATTCTATAGAATAAATAGAATATATTATCTTTATCTTATTTTGTTTTATTTTATTTTATTCTAGAACCTTTAGGAAATTATACATAAAACGCACTAAACCCAGAAGCGACTTGAGAAAATGTATAAAACTTGGTGATATTGCGTGTTTTATCAGTTTGATAGCGAAAACACTTTCTTTAAGCATCGGTTGAAATATTACGGTAATGTTTTGACGTAAAATTTATCATTTCGACCGCTACGGGCCAACCGTAAACGACAGCTGCCATGGCAACCAACTGCCAGGCGGATGATGTTTCCTCATTTTCCTGACCGTTACCTGCCTTCGGCCGGCTCCTCACTGTGATATCCCTCCGCCCCGCGCAGCCGGGAGCCCCGCCTCATGATGCCGGGAGGAGGAGCCAGGTAGCAGACACTGACACGTAACAGTCCTGCGTAGAATTTAAGGAAGGAGCCGCATCTTTTCGGAAAAACTCACTTTGGTACAGCCGTGCCTCTTCAGACTGGATGAACCACCCAGCTGTCCCGACCCAGAAGCCCCGTTAGACCGGCTTCCGGAAGCGACCGAAGCGGGACTAGCAGGCAGGAGCGGAGGGAGAGCCGACGTTTAAAATGAGATTTTCAGTGTTTATTTCTGTCCTGCGGTCGCTCGGCCCGGTGGTAATCGGCATCTCATTGGGCTTCACGCTGAGTTTGTTGAGCGTGAGCTGGACGGAGGAAGCGTGTCCCCTGGAGGGCAAGGAGGGCGAGGATGTGGCTTCGGGTCAGGAGGGTCTCCTCAAAGGAGCCCGAAAGCCCAGCTCCATTTCCACCGGCAACGATGTGGAGTCCGAAGAGGATTTCGAGCCAAGAATAGTCCCTTACAAACAAGTCCAGCCGAGTGCTCCAAAGAAAGTTTTCAGGTCAGTTCAGGGTCACCGTTCATTCTGGATGTCCAATTAATTTTACAGTGAGCTGTAATTTACTTAATACGAGTACTATTTTGGTGATAAATAATCTCAGACCCACGTGGTGCAGATGTACAGGTGTCCCCGTCTGGCCTATAATTTTAGGAGTATTAAGGTAACAGCAGACGAGTGATGGTCAGGGGCGACCCCAGAGGTGGCCGTATGGGGGCCAATGCAAAAAACAAACAAACAAACAAACAAAAAAAAACTTTGTTTCCATGAAAAGTGGGATTCAAATGACCATTCTTAACTTGGTCTCTCCACACACAATAAATATTTGTCATAAGTTTGTATTTTTAGCCACTTTAAATAGCAGTGTTAGTGAAGTAATTTCTTATATATTAGAAAGATAAAAAGGAGAAGATATTTTCTGAGCCTGAAAGTTAAAAAAAATCACAACTAAATGGATTCTGATAAATTTTTATTTTTTGTGCCAAGTTGTTTTGAGAGTGTGTTGATAAATATCTTTAACTACTGAAACAAAGCAACTTTAATTAATATAGTTTTGGGTTCAGGGTAAAAACAGGAGCGCTACAATGTTATAAAAGTTGTAATAGCATTAAAATTTTAGAAGTTGTGATCCAACATAGCAAAACATACTACTTCTGAAAAAGTGATGCTACCAGGAGTTCCTCAAATGATACTTGAGGACTTTTCTGCTGTTTCCACAGTTATAATAAATATCAGGTCATTGATGATTGTTACTGTAGAATCTGATATTTTAAAGTCTAAAAAGCTCAACATATTTTGACTTCAGAGAAAAATAATCAACTTGCATTATTTCTTTCAGTCAAAACAACAGGGTTAAGTTATAAAAGTTAAACAAATTAACTACAGGATAATAAATCAGTTTGTTTACCGTTTAGTTCATTTTAAAAAATTTGCTTGTCTTCACATATATCAAACACAGTTTTGTCAGATCAAAGTTTCAGCAATACATTTTCAACTTTTATGCAGACAAATGTGTTGTTTCTGTTTGAATCCGTCTGCAAAGCAAACCCTCCAGTTAAGTTCTCAAGATAAAAAGTACAACCTTTTTTTATTTTATCAATGATCTTATCAGCTAGTGTCAAACATGTTTAAAACGGTTCTTAAATTCTACTGGCCACTTCTGCTCTCCTCACACTCGCCTCCACCGCTAGTAGCAACTATTACAAGACAATTTATGTCATCTGTCCTACATCTAATTAAAATATGAAGCAAACCTTCAGATATTTGTAGATGCTTATTAATACTAGCCAGCCTGGAGGACTGAAGCTGAGGCTGACAAGGTGCCACTGTATGGCCACACACTGAAGGATGTCTAACTTACATTTTCTGCATAAGCAGGCAAACATTTCCAAGAACCTGTGGATAGAGACCTTGTTTGAATGTTAACCCTCACACCCCAAAGTGGATGAATTTTATTTCAGTCTCTTGAAATAGTCTTTAGGTTTAGGAGAAGGTTTTGCTAAAATTAAAGATGTAATTTTGAAAATTCCTTTCATTTATAGGCCGTTTTTTTCTTTGGATAATAGGTAGTGACATCTAATGATGCCTAAACATTGCTATCTTAAAAACTACTTAGATTAGTTTGGTTTTTTAACTTCGAATTATGGAGATAAATAGTTATGAAAGGATCATATTGCACATATTATTTTACTTTGTATTATTCCAACTTCAATATGATAAACTGTGGCCCCTGATCAAACCAGAATAACTCTAATGTTCCCTACTGCTGGTCAATATTGTTTATTGGAATCATAAAACTAAGTTTTTCTTTCAGAAGACCAAGAGTTGAACATTTAAAATGACTAAAAATGGAAATGAAACAAGCCCTGGTGATTACGACTTGATGGACGGTTGGGACAAAATGTCCCTCAGCAGACGGCTCTCAAGTTATACCAGAAAAAGTCCAGAAATACTTGTGATTTAGTTGCTTTACCAACTTTAAAAAGATGGAAACTGAACCTAAAGTAATAAAACAGTTGTGTTTGTCATACATCTGACAAACAAACCTTTATAGATAATCATTTTTAATATGTAACCAGTAGAAGTAGACTGGTTTTCCTTTTAAGTTGAGAACTCTTCTAAATGCTACTATTTGCAGATAATGTTGCTCTATTATTAGATGAATCATCAAATGGGCTTGACTCTAAACTGGGTCCTCAAAGATGCCATGTGGGTTATAAAAAGGAAATAAAGTTTGGCTGCTCTGTTGGTTATGATGAATCGCTTTGCAAGTTCCTACATGTTTAATTTTCTAAAGAAGCAGTAGTTTCCTTTGCTAGTGTTTCCATGTGTGTCACAGCGATTGACATATCTAGGGCTTCAGCAGAAGCTTGTGAAATCACTCGACCCGCTTATCGGGTTTTAATAAACTCACTCATTCTTTGGTTACCTAGCAACAACTTGAGAAACTTGCCTAGCAGCAGTTTAAGGTTTTGCTACCGTCTCTCTTATACGGTGGCCCTGAGGTGCAAAAACTACAACATTAAGGAAAGCACTACAACATTAAGGAAAGCACTACAACATTAACAAAAACACAACAACATTAAAAAAACACGACAACATTAACAAAAACACAACAACATTAAGAAAAACACAACATTAACAAAAACACGACAACATTAACAAAAACACGACAACATTAAGAAAAATACAACATTAACAAAAACACGACAACATTAACAAAAACACAACAACATTAACGAAAACACGACAACATTAACGAAAACACGACAACATTAACAAAAACACAACAACATTAACGAAAACACGACAACATTAACAAAAACACAACAACATTAACGAAAACACGACAACATTAACAAAACACAACATTAACGAAAACACGACAACATTAACAAAAACACAACAACATTAACGAAAACACGACAACATTAACAAAAACACTACAACATTAAGGAAAAACAACGGAAGAGGTAGGTCCCAGTGGGAGACCTAAGAAGTCGCTGATTGGACGACAGGTCGTTTTACTTTTGAACCGGAAGTTCTTCTGGCTTTAACTTGATTGCTGAAAACAAGAATGTTCTCAGTGATCCAAACCTTAGTACTGTTATTCGTAAATATTTTGAGTCAGGACATACTTACGAGGTGATACTGGACATGCTCCAGACCAACCACGAAGTGTCGGTTAGCATGCGTTCAGTAAAGACTCATTTGAAAGTAGCAGGGCTGCATTGAAGAGGCAACTACTCTCCACTTCCTGAAGTGAGACGTGTCATTATGTCCGAGCTTAGAGGACCAGGGCAATTATTTGGCTATCGGACCATGTGGCAAGTTCTCAAACTAAAACACAACCTGCGTGTCAAACGTGATGTTGTAATGAGACTGCTGAGGCAGCTGAATCCTCAAGGCATCGCTCTGAGAACTCGCAGGTTTACAAGACGCACGTATCCCTCCACGGGGCCCAATTACATATAGCATGTAGATGGCTACGACAAAACTGAAGCCATTCGGCTTGGCCATCTCAGGGTGCATTGATGGTTTTTCGAGAAGGATAATGTGATATAAGACAGCTGTGGAAAGATAGTTTAAATCCCAAGGCCACTTACCTTTGAGAAATGAAGAGAACATTTTCCTGGTAAATTAATTGGTTCCCATGTTTTGGAAGGGACACATTATTTCAGGTGGCTAAAATATATGGTTCCCCCTCATATCTCTGGCAAATAAAGAGGAAATGTTTTCAAATAATTTGTTGTTGATGAAGAGACGAATAAGCACAGTTGAAGACTTGTTGGTAAATAGTCCCCATGTTTTGAAGGGGGAACAGATTATTTTAGTCACCTAAAATATATGGCTTTCCCCTCATAACTCTGGCAAACAAGGAGCAAATTCTACCAAAATCACAGGATTTATTGTTGATGATGAGAGGAATAAACAGAGAAAAAAATCTTGCTGGTAAATTAAGTTGTTCCCATATTATGGAGGGGGACCAGATTATAATTTCCTCCATTCTTTCCTACCCTTACCGAACCTTGGGGAATAAAGAACAACTGTTTCCAAATTCTCAAAAATCTTTACATACACACTACGTGTTGGGAAAACTGTGTTTGGTGCCTGACTTATTTCTGCCAGGCTTACGTGAGAAACGTTGGAAAAAGAGCGATTCTCTTGGCGTATAAAATAACAAAAAACAGCATCAGAAGATCTTGTTTATTTATTTATTATACAATTTTTTAAACAACAACTGCCAATTAAACTCAATGTTACAACCTTCACATGATTATATGAGTTGTTTTACCGAGAAATCGATCAGAAGCGACGTGAAAATGGTCAGATCCGCCTCATTCGTCTCTCTGGCTGTAATGATCGCTCCCGACACAGGGGAACCCAATTTAGCACCTACCCGAACTTTCATTTCTTCCTTTTGTTTTAACCCCTTTCTCCCAAGAGAATACTTTGGTCGCTCCTCATTTTTCTATTCAAGGAAGGTGCTGAGGGCTGGTGTACGGCAGGATGGGACAGTCTGTTGTGCTAGAAGTAAAGCAAAGAAAAAATGTCGCACATCACATTCATGCAAACAGACAATATGTATTACGAACTGAAGTAAAGCTGCCACAAGTATAAATTAAGTGCGAGTTCGCTTCCAAAAAGGCGGCTAGCCTGATCGCAGTGCAGCAGAACCAGAACGACACCAATTATCCTAAAAAAGTAGTGCCTAAAGCTGTAACGTACCTTACGATATATAGCTAATACAATTCTGCTGTATTATAGCGACTTTGTGTACTTTTAATTGCATTTATAATGAACAACTAGATGACAGTGGACACGGTCTGGAGACCACTAGCGTTAGCAAGTTACTACATCCATAAGAAATATGAATCTTCCTTTATACTTTTTAACTTACTTGAACATTGTGGAGTATCCTCCATACAAGTTTCTTGAAGCCTCTTGCCACAATTACTGCAAAAATTTGGTGACGGCTCAACCACCTCCTTTCCACAGTTCGGGCAATACATGGCGAAGTGACTGTATTCCCGCTTCCTTAGGTTTTCAATCAAACGAAGCACTCCAGCATAACTTCCGGTTCAAAAGTAAAACGACCTGTCGTCCAATCAGCGACTTCTTAGGTCTCCCACTGGGACCTACCTCTTCCGTTGTGTTTTCCTTAATGTTGTAGTGCTTTCGTTAATGTTGTTGTGTTTTTGTTAATGTTGTAGTGCTTTCGTTAATGTTGTTGTGTTTTTGTTAATGTTGTTGTGTTTTTGTTAATGTTGTTGTGTTTTTGTTAATGTTGTCGTGTTTTCGTTAATGTTGTTGTGTTTTTGTTAATGTTGTTGTGTTTTCGTTAATGTTGTCGTGTTTTTGTTAATGTTGTTGTGTTTTTGTTAATGTTGTTGTGTTTTTGTTAATGTTGTCGTGTTTTCGTTAATGTTGTTGTGTTTTTGTTAATGTTGTCGTGTTTTCGTTAATGTTGTTGTGTTTTTGTTAATGTTGTTGTGTTTTTGTTAATGTTGTTGTGTTTTCGTTAATGTTGTTGTGTTTTCGTTAATGTTGTTGTGTTTTCGTTAATGTTGTTGTGTTTCCGTTAATGTTGTTGTGTTTTTGTTAATGTTGTTGTGTTTTTGTTAATGTTGTCGTGTTTTCGTTAATGTTGTTGTGTCTTTGTTAATGTCGTTGTGTTTTCGTTAATGTTGTTGTGTTTTCGTTAATGTTGTAGTGTTTTCATTAATGTTGTCGTGTTTCCGTTAATGTTGTTGTGTTTTCGTTAATGTTGTTGTGTTTTTGTTAATGTTGTTGTGTTTTTGTTAATGTTGTTGTGTTTTCGTTAATGTTGTTGTGTTTTTGTTAATGTTGTTGTGTTTTCGTTAATGTTGTTGTGTTTTTGTTAATGTTGTTGTGTTTTCGTTAATGTTGTAGTGTTTTGCACCTCAGGGCCACCGTACTCTTAACTTTTTTAAAATAAACCACACCAACGTGGAGTGAGAACTGCTGATACAAGAGGAAAGGTCTCACCATTTTGTTAGTATTTTATATTTTTAAAACAAAATACTGATCAATAATTATCTATGTTTATGTTGTGGTATATTTTTTAGCCGTCCAGCGCTTGTTTCTGGCTGAACGTTTTCAGTCAAGTAGTAGAAAATGTTGGAGCGTTTTGAAGTATTGTGATGATTCACCGAATAAATATAAAAACTAATCAATCAAACTATCAACCAGCTGTATTGATCCAGTCGTTCTCCATCTTGTTTCTCAGGGCTAAGTACATAAGCACAGAGCTTGGCATGCGGGAGCGCCTGTTCGTTGGAGTCCTGACCTCCAAAAACACCATCAACACCCTCGGGGTGGCGGTGAACCGCACCATAAGTCACCATCTGGACATCGTGGTCTTCTTCACCGGCTCACGCAACCGCAAAGTCCCCCACGGCATGTTTGTGGTCTCCCACGGAGATGAGAGGCTGATCTGGAACATGTTTCAGACCATCAGGTACGTCTTAGACCACAATGTCAACGAGTACGACTGGTTCTACTTCGTCCAAGACGACGCCTACACCGAAGCCGACCGGATCAGAGAACTGGTGGAGCACCTGAGCGTGGATCGAGAGCTGTACATGGGCAGTCCCGAAGAGTTCATCGGAGGAGAGATGGAAGGGAAGTACTGCTACGGGGGGTTTGGGTACCTCCTGTCGCGCAGCTTGCTGCTGCGACTTCAACCCTACCTGGAAAACTGCAGGAACGACATCCTGAGCTCCAGGCCAGATGAGTGGCTCGGAAGATGCATCATCGATTACACCAGCACCAACTGTGTCAGTGAGTATGAGGTAAGTTGACTGAAACTCACTCTTTTTTTCTTTTTTCAAAGGTGGGCGCACAAGGGGGCGCTGTGGGGGCCTGAGAAAGTTGGAGAGAAAAATAGAAAAAACATGAAAAAAAAAAGTTGAATCCCATAAATTTCTTCAACATAATTTAGATTTTCTGTTTTTTGATCATTTAAAAAAAATTAAGTTAAAATGATTGATTTTTAAATGTAAATTCTGAAATCAAATTTCAATTCATCAATCCGCTTTTCTCCTCAAGCCAGCATGGCAAACAAGAAATTCAACTTAATTCTCGAAACAGGCAAATTTTTCAAGCATACACACTTCTTATTAAGTATCTTGATTGACAAAAAATAATTAAAAATTATCCTGAAAAAAGAAAAGAAACAAAAGCAGTGAAAAACAACGTGAAAGCCATGAAACATTTATTATAATATAAAATATGCATAAAGCATATTAAACTAAACGAAAGTTTCTAACAAGAAAAAGACCAAATTAAGCATCCAGCAGCCCCTTTGTGGGAATAAATTTAAATTTGATCTGATTAATATAAAACATAACAAAGAGGGAATTGTGTTGACAAATGTAATAATTTGGTAACGAATGCAAAATTTTCTGCTGCATCTAAAATCAGAAGGTATAAGGTTAGCATTTATGCTAAATTAATATAATAATTATGGAATAGTGAAGAGAAAAAAGCCTTCTAAATGTTTGTTTTTTATATAATCCCTGGTTTGAAAACAGGGTCCTGTCCAGAGGTTAAAGCTCTCTGGGAAAAAGTTTGCAAACTCCTGGCTTACAACACGAACATGAAGGTATAACGATGTTTTCTTTACATGAGAGCAGATGAAAGGAAGCCGTCCGTAGTTTAAACGAATGTTAAGCTGTAAAAACGAAGAAGAAGAAGAGTCATCTGGGACAGCTGTCTGCATTGGGGGGCTCTTCTCCTCACAAGCAAAACATAACCGTCTCTGCAGAAATCATTACTTTGCACTAACACTGACAGACAGCTCTATAGAACTGTAATTACGATGCTAGCAAAGAGATGGTATTCATATTACAGAGGAGAGGGCTCGTGCCCTTTAACTTCCCGGGGCATTAAGGGGCAGGTAAACAGGCACAGGGGACACAGCTGAGAGGTTGACTTAGGTTCAATGGTGTGAAAATCCCCTGTGGGTCAACATGCTCTGCTCCTATAATGTCATTAGCATTTAAGGTCAAACAGGCTTTGTCCCAAGGCATGCAGGGAGGTTTTTTGTTTGTCTTTCAGTACAGTTTGCTTCAGTTATTTTAGTGTTAATGTTTTACTTACAAACATATACAGTGCAGTGCAAATAATTAGTTCCCTTGAAGTATTTTTTAGTTTCGGCTTTTTTTTTGTCAAACTGGTTTCAAAGACAAGCTGAGTAAATACAAAAGTTCAATTTACAATTGATTCACTTTATTTATGAAAATGATTATTGAAACCAACCAGAAAGTAATTACATCTCTTGGTAAATCTTGAATTAAGTGATTAGACACACTTATTTTGTTCAGGGAACATTTTTTATCCACATCGTTTCAGTAGAACCTGTCTGAACGCATGAAGTAGGCGAGTTTCTCTGTTATGGCACCAAAACTCTGGGACTCACCAAGAGTTTATGAAAAACGGCTTCATAACGAAGTAATCACAAATTCTGCTCTCTGTCTGAAAATCCTGAGGGATAATATCCTTCAGGGCTCCAACAATTAATCGACTTAATTGTGATTAATCGATCACTGAAATAACAATCAACAAATTTAGTAATCGATTAATTGGTAACTGGACAATACAAACTCATTTGGTGAAAAAATAACAGTCAGAGTCAAAACTCCACAACAGATTAGTAGATTGTCTTTTTTTTTTTACATCTTCATTTTTAATTTAAAAAGTAATTGAATTATTTGCATATTTTAATATACTATAAATGTGTAAAAATGCTTAAATATTTAAATGATAAATCTGCAGAATGTGCCCATTTTTTATCCGATTAATCATCAGAATAATTGATTCTGTATTAATTAATTTTATTTTGTAACCAGGTTGCTGTGGATTGCAGATTTCTGCCCAGGTCCCTCTTGAAAATGAGATCTAGACCTCAACGGGGTTTACTTGGTTAAAATAAAGGAAATAAATAAAATTACTATAATAATAGTTGGTTGCAGCCCTAAGGTCCTTTAGATCATGACCGTAAAGACCAGAAAGGCAGTAATACAAACAAACACCAGCAGATCTACCTCTGAATGGCTCAAAAATGAAAAATATATCGTTTTGGAGTGGTCTAGTCAAAGTCTGTACCAACATATCCATCAAAATCAGAAGGATATGTTGTGAAAACTCTTCAGTATGGATGAATTTTTAAAAATCTGCAGACAAGACTAAGATATCTGGTTTTGTTTGAACGACGTAAACATTCAGGAATAAACAAGCAAAAGCAGTTTATAAGAGGGTAAATAGTTTTCCATACCATGTTAATTTGTTGTTTTTTTTGACTCACCCAATAGTTATGTAAATGCTTTTTACTCCCATTCTTCCTGCTTGGCTCCTGGCCAAAGCTGCAAACCATCTTGTTGCACAATTGAGAGGGAGTAACTTGGCTATCAGAAGAGCCCCGAGCCAGCGGCTCTTAACTTAGCCCTTTAGATAACGGAGCCAGGCAGGGGGAAGTTAACAGGCCTCAAATAGTTGAGAAAACAGATTGAACACAGAGCCAGACATCATTTTTTCCCTGTACAAAGGGAACACTGATGCCAATTAGGCACGGACAATGCTTCACTAAGTGTTGGGCTACAGGCTATAAGCTGTTGGCAAACACTGATAATAGAGCGGCCTCGCTGCTTAGCTAAGCGCTTCCCCTGTTCTTTCTTCTCTTAATGGCTTCATCAGATTCTTTTCAGGGGTTTTTTTCAGCTGGAGACTGAGATGAGGTCCTCAGCCACGTCTTTTGTTTTATTTTGAAGTTCCTGTGAACTTGTCAAAGAGCAAACACGGTTGCTGACCCGGCAGTGAAAGTCTGGTGTTTTTTTTTTTTTAGTCTCTCTGTGAAGCTTCAGCTCAGTGAGCAAACTTTCCCGTGGAGATGAGCCTGATACGCTGTCTAGTTGGCTCGAAATGTTTGAAAGGAAGTAACGCTCCGTAACAACCGGGCCTGGAACGGCATTCGGCGTATTTCTGTTCATGCCATCACGTCTCATGAAGAGCGCGCTTTGTTTGTCTTCTTTGCAGGGACTCGAGTACCACCATTACGAGCTCGGAAAAAACTCGGACCCAAATAAAGAGCAGAACGAGAAGTTCAAGAGAGCCCTGACTGTTCATCCCGTGTCTGACCCCGAACAAATGTACCGGCTGCACCGATACTTCTCCGAGATTGAGCTCCAGAAGACTTATAATGAGATCGCTAAGCTGCAGGTAAGCAGCTTGCCAAGAGTCACAAATCACCTGCGAGTCAGTCAGAAATTCAATCTCCTCTTATCATTATTCCCCCCGCAAAATGCCCAAAACAGAAGATCTGACTAGAATACCAGAAAAAAGATCATTTATTTCAGGTCAGACATGAACCTCATTCACTGCATACAGATTGATGCATTTGAATGAAGTGTGACTCAGGCTGAAACGATTAATCGTGATTAATTCAGATACTCCTCAACTAATTTCTTAATTGATTAATCGTCAACTGGAGTCTGCAGACAAGTAATTAAGCCTACAAGGTACAAATAATATGTACTTTTGGATTTAATCTAAAAATATCTTTAAGTTTGTTTCAGCTGTTTCAGATTAACTGAGGAAATGCTGTAATATTTAATTGAATGCAATAAAATGTCTGTTACTTTTTTATTTGAATCTTTTAACATTTTTCTAATGCTTTACTAAAAAAAAAAGCTGAAGTAGTTAAATTAAAAATCTGTAACCTGTGCCATTTTTCTATCTATCAATCAATCAATCAATCAATCAATCAATCAATCAATCAATCAATCAATCAATCAATCAATCAATCAATCAATCAATCAATCAATCCATCAATCAATCAATCAATCAATCAGAATAATTGATAAATTAATCATTTTCCAGAAGTAGTTAGTTGCAGCCCTAATTTTGACTTTTCACTGTTGTGAAAATTGTGAGGTGTTTTTTATGTTTTGATCTGTTGTCTTGTCTGTAGCGATTCTCCATTTAATTGTTTTCTGCTCATATCAAACACAGTGAAGCCACGTTTATTTTTAGATTTCCAAATGAATCCCAGTCATTACTTAAATCTGAGAGGAGAACTAAAAAGTGTTTTGGTTAAAAAAAACCCAAAACATTATATTTGGATTGTTTATTATGTTTGATAATTCTTTTTTTTTCAACTCAACTGAATAAATGTAACTCTAAAACTAGCAAAAATCTTCATTGAGCAGATTTTTCTTTTACTTTTTCTTTCCACTCAACTTTCTATGAATTTACATCCTTACTGCAGACTGTAAGAAGGTAAAGCAGTGACATTTTGTACTGTTTCGGCTTCATTGTTATTTTCAGAAATTGCACATCTTTGAGTATTTGTACTTTAGTTAGCAATTAATCGATTTCTAAATGTGATGGTGATTATTTCAATGATCAATTAATCTGATTAATTGTTTCAGCCCTAATTGAAATAGACACATTTTTCAATAATATTAACAAAACTCTTGTGTGTCTGCAGGCGGAGATAAAAAATGTCAGCGTTCTCGCTTTTGAAGGCAACCGAAGCGCCCAGTGGCCAGTCGGGATCAATCCGCCTTTTGAGCCTAAGTCCCGGTTTGAAGTTCTAAAATGGGAGTACTTCACAGAGGAGGAGATTTACTCGTGCATCGATGGCGCTCCTAAGTGTGAGTTGCGGGGCATCGATAAACTGGATGTGGCAGAAGTCATAGACACAGCCATAGAGGAGCTGAACAAGAAGTACATGCCCACTTTACACCTGAAGAAGCAGCAGCTGATTAACGGATACAGACGCTTCGACCCCACCAGGGGCATGGAGTACACCTTAGACCTTCAGCTGGAGGTCGTCAATCAGAAAGGTCACAGCCGCTCCATCACCAAGAGAGTCCACCTGGTGCGACCCCTGAGCCTCATAGAGATCATTCCCATGCCCTACGTCACCGAAGCGACCAGGGTTCACATCATTATACCTCTGACTGCAGACGACCGCAGCTACGTCAACCATTTCCTGGAAGTCTTTGCCTCCAACGCCTTTGAGACGAGCGAAAACGCCATCCTCACGTTCCTGTTCATTTACGACCCAGAGGAGGCTCAACACGTGAATCACAACGACATATTTATTGATGTGAAGAATCAGATAAATGTTTACGAGCGAAAATACCCCACGGTGAAAATCCCCTGGATCAGCGTCAAGACAGAGGTACCGTCCCAGATTAAGTTCATGGACATCATCTCCAAAAAGCACCCGGTGGACACTTTGTTCTTCCTGGCGCACGTCAACACGAACATCAACTCCGAGTTTCTCAACCGCTGCCGCATGAACTCTATAAACAACTGGCAGGTCTTCTTCCCCATCCACTTCCAGGAGTATAACCCCGATGTTTCCTACCACAACCAGCCGCCCCCGGCCACAGTCGACCTGGTGAAGGACGCCGGACATTTTGACCGCAGGTCATTCGACGAGGCGTGCTTTTACAACTCCGACTACATGGCGACGCGATCCCGCATGGTGGCGGACGTCCAAGAGAACGAGGACATCCTTGAAAGCCTGGACATTTATGACATATTTGTGAAGTATTCTGGTCTGCACGTATTCAGAGCTGTTGAGCCAGCTCTGCACCAGCAGTACCGCTACCAGTCCTGCAACCCCAAACTCAGCGAAGACATCTACCACCGGTGTATTCAGAGCAACATGGAGGGCCTCGGGTCCAGATCGCAACTCGCCATGCTGCTTTTCGAACAAGAACAAGGAAACAGTACTTGAAACATTTCACCTGCTTTATTTTCGTAAAACGGACTGAAGATGTTGGAGTCGGTTGAAAAAAGCAACAAGTCTTCTACCAGCTTTAAGTCCAACCCGACGGTTCTCCCTAAAGGCTGTTTTGTCAGATTGGTCTTTTTTAGCTAGTTTTGATAAACTGACAGAACACGGGTTTAAAATGAAACCAAATGTGCTAGCTATGCTGACAAATATAAAAATTGCAATAAGCAGTTTTGACCACTAGGGGAGGCATAAAAACCAGAGACTCGTGGCTTTGCGGTAGCTTTGAGGAGTTTGTGTCGTCTCCTCAGTATTCAGGTGGAAATCGCTACCAAAGACTGAGAATATTCAGGGGTAGGCATGGGCCGGCTGCTGCACGTTGCTGTGGTCCAATTCAAAGTTCTTCCATTGAAATCTAACAGAACTAGTTGCTGCACACTGCCAGTCGGCTGGCTGAAGAAAGGCCACTTCTTTTCTCTTGAGCCTACAAGAACAAATTTACATTTGGCTTGGAAAGAAAATCAGCTCCATCAAACACACTTTCTCATAATTAAGTTTAGTCACCAAACGTTGGACGTCCATTGACTTTTTAGGACTTAACTGAAAAACTTATTAAAAATATAAAATTTTTTTAGTCTATTCAACTGAATTTGGCCCAGACAGGTTCTTAAATTAATTCTTTGCTTTAGGTTTGTGTTGACATATTTTCACTCTATTTATCCGTATTTTAACATTGTTTAAAATACCACAATCCAATGTGTTTTTTTTCAGTGTTTATTAGATGGAAATGTGTTTGGGAAAGAGTGAAGTACTCAGCCTGACTACTGGAGCAGAAAGGCATAAAAGGCAAGGTTACTTGAAAATGACTCCAACATTTAGTGGTATTTATTACATTTTTATGTTGAATTCAATATTGCAGTTCACAACCACCTCTTTAATATTTGATCTCAGTAAATTAAATAAATTCAATAGTGGTACTCATTTTCTTTCCTTTAAATATTTTTTAGATGCTGTGAGAAGACTGGTCCATGCCTCCTTAGGAGTAATTATGTCAATTGGTCACCATTAGAAGGAGATAGTTTCCCTTTGGGAACATTAGCTTAGATTAGCTGAGAAAGCTAACAATCATGTCTTTTAAAAGTATTAGCACCCCTTCAACTTTTTTTTGCAACATCTCACATTTCAACCACAAACTTTGATATGTTTTATTTAGAATTGTAGAATATTATATGGAGTACTGTATAACTGTGAAGGTTATGCATGATTCTACATTTTATGAAATTCATTAATAATCAGGTTTAAAGGGGCGGTAATACTTATTTTCCAAACATTTTTATAACAGCATATGAAATATTACACCTTGAAATTGGATCTGTCTTTTTAAGAAGCTCTGACACTTTGCCTCTATCATGTTATAACATTAAAACATGATAGAAAGCTAAAAAGAGTTGATTTTAAAGTGTTTTGTATGGTCTACGTGGTTTAACTGTAAAGTGTCCCAGCATGATGCTTCCACCACCATGTTCCATAGTGTATTTTGCTTTTAGGTTTAAAAGTTTGTATTTTTTAAGGTTTTATTGGCACCAGATTTCCTTTTTTTTTTTTTTTTTTTAAAAAACATGTACTGAAATTCCACTTCTCAGTTATTCTCTACTTTATCCCTGAAGGAAAACAGTTTGTGGTTGTTGCATTAAAAAAAAGCATTAAAACGTTCAAGGGGAAATAATGCTTTTTGGAATGTGTGCTTTGGCTGCTGCACATTCTGATGAATGAAACTATTTTCGTTAGCATAGAGTGAGCTAATGCAGTAGGTATGTTGGGTTTGGAAACCAATTAACCAAAACAATAAGCGGTTTGTAATTAAAAGATGTCATTGCTGCTTCTCAGAGGGGTTTGACTTATGAGCAGGGCCTGGTTTGCTTTTTGAGGACGCCCTTTGATTTAATCTGTATCTTTAAATCAGAAGTTAATGTTTTATTTTATTTCCAACGGTACATTGCACCACTGCTTGTGTGCCCCAGTTCTTGCACTTTTGATACTTAACTGGTTTGAGTATTCACAGAAGTGTGTTTGTATAATGTGCCTTGACAAAGACGTTTTATATGTTGGCTGTCTTGTTTTTTATATATACATAAAGTAGTATTTTGGTATTGATGAACTCCTATGGGAGAGTGGAGCTTTCTGTGTGTTTATAACGCCTGCCACAGCTGGGAGACTGAAGTGGGTTCTCGGTTGAGTTTTTATTGCGAACTTGGACATGCCATGAACCCGACCATCTGCAGGCTGAACATAACGTGTGCCTCGAAGCCAGGAGGAGCTTTCTGGAAAGTATCTGTTGGGTTTGATTTATGAAGATTTGACTTACTGGAAATGCTTCTTATTGAACATTTTTTAATGGTACAAACAAACGAGCCCTATGAATAATGACGTTGTTACTGTCTGGATGCCGGGATATATTTTAATTACATTAGAAAAATATTTCTATGTCAACAGAAGCAGAAATTGGAGAAGGTTTAGCTGTTCCAAAGTGCTTTGGATGACTTTTTTTTGGTGTGCTTGAACTCCAGATGTTGTGAAATGCAGTAGGAGGTTTCTTCTGTCTCTCAGCGGTAATGGATGTAGTATTGCTGGACAGCAGTAATTTATTAGTACATTAAAATGTGCAATATTACAGATAACACAGCTGGACAGGCAGCTTTTAGGCGACGGGATTTTAAATTTCAAAGACATTTTTTGTTTCTTCAAGTGCAGCAGTGTGTATATCACAGTACTGTTCATGGCTTGTACCTTCTGTTTGAGGCAGAGTAAATACACTGTAATTTTGCTGACAGGCCCTTTTAATGTATTTTGCTCTCTGTAGACACTTTTTCATCACATTTGCTTTGAAATACATAAAACCGAGGCGAGTCCTTTTATTTAACTGTAATTGGATTTAATATATATGTTGGAGACGTTACAGCCGCCGTGGTGGTCCGCCGCATTTCTTATCTGTTTTATTCACAGTGTGAACACAGAGCATTAAGTTCAGTTTTATGCTTATTTTTTTTTTTTTTTAATGTCTGATAACTTGGTGTGAATGTTTTCTTGAAGAGTCTTCCAGAGAAATCACTGTGAAATAAGGAGGTTGAGATTACAATATGAAGTTACTGAAATGTGCTGTTTTCTTGCCTTTCTGTCAGCATGAATGGTCTGGATCACAGGTGTCAAACTCGAGGCCCGTGGACCAAATCCGACCCGCCCGAGCTTTTTAAGTGGCCCTATAAATTCTACACTAAACGCTAAATGTGCTCAAATATTATTTTATCAATCAATTCAGTTTTTATCTGTTTACTGCCAAACTAAATGAATCAGTCCCTCCATTTTCTTGCAAATTATTGTGTAAATTCACACAAAATCAACAAATCCACACAGTTCTTTGCACTAATACTTAACTGGTAGTTTATTCCACAAAATGGTCTAAAACGTTCTTTTGTACTGAACAGCTGCCTTAGTATTAATTAAGGTCAGCTTCTATAGCGAGTAATAAAAAGTCACACATTTCCAATTTAGTGCCACAAACACTTTGATTTTTATTGCAAAAAATCACAAAATCGTAAAATCCAGGAGGGACTGTATATTATTCAGTTTTAAGAATTTATTGATATTTTAACAGTTTGTGAATGGGTTTTGTCAATACATTCTGGCACAACCGGCCCTTTAAGAGGATTATGACATTGACTTGGCCCAAAGCAAAAGTGAGTTTGACACCACTGGTCTCGAATCAAGTGGGGCGTCAGATTAATGATCCTGTGTGGCTGAACGAAGGCTCCTTATGTATTTTAATGATTTATTTATCTGTCACATCACCTACATAACACAGTATTTTCTGCTTTTATGACATTCTTTGTACACTCCATTTTCAAACATCTTTCCACAGTCAGTCATGTTTTACCTTTTATTGTAGTCCTAAAGTCATTTTAATATGTTGAGTTCATTCCACATTTATTTCCACCAGAACCTGAAGTTTTCCCTTTGCACCCCATTCACTGGTTATTTGTACTGTTTTCACACACATTGGTACTTGTTGAACCAAAGCGGTACATTTTGGTTGATGCACATGGCGTGTGATTGAGTGCTGTAATTCTCAATAAACTGTGAATCATTGTAATTTTTCTAAATAAATAATTTTAAATATTTACCTGTGTGCTTGTGAATCAAAATTCAAAGTGGTAATAGCTGTAAAAATGGCACATTTTTCTGAAAATGACTTGCCATGAAAATAAAGATAAAATGTTAGGTTTTTAAAAAAATATATTTTTATGTAACAGAGTTTTATCAGCATTATATGTGAAGTTTGCCAAAATGCGTTCATTTTTTTCAATTTATTTTGTTTAGTTGTGCTAAACGTTTTGTTAGACGTTGCTGTTGGCGGTTACCGCAACCGGTAACTGACAGCTCCTCGCCCTGATGCTAACCACCATCTTGATTTCCTCTGTAGTGAAACACAGAACCTGAACGTGTCGTGAAGTCGACCTGCTGGACCCAGAAGGGTTTCATCTGATGCTCTGGAAATGATTAAGAACCCACTGCATTGAAAACCTGGTTATTCCACCAAATATTGATTTATAAACTCTTCCTGAGTTAAAACATTAGTATTGTTGTTTTCTTTACATTATTTGAGGTCTGACAGCATTGCGTCTTTTTTGTTATTTTGACCATTTTTTCTGCAAATAAATACTAAATCTTTGCTTGGCTTTTCACAGGCATGTTGTCAATAGTTCACAGAATAAAATAACAATTTTACTCAAACATATACCTATAAAAAGCAAAATCATTTTAAATGGTCTCTTCATTTTTATCCAGAGCTGTGTGTGTGTAGATTTATTTTTATTTTTTGCCTTATACCCACAGATTTCATTCTGTCCTCTGGGTGTCAGCACAAGTACGCACTTCCTCCAGGTTTGTACTCTGGCAGTGACTGCTGGTTGCAAAGATGGAAACTGCAACTGAACAACATCTGAGAATCCCCAGTTTTATTTGACATAAAAATGTCAGATTTTTTTCTAATCCCCTGCCGTGAGCAGGCCGTTTCTGTCAGATCCGACATTCTCCTGATGTCTGGGATGGGTTAAAAACGGGGAAAAAATGTTGCGACCTTAATTACAGCCTCAGTTATTTTGAGGGTCTATGTGCACTACCCTTAGGCATGCTGTAAAACCACATAACTACAGAGCAGCAAGGTTTTAATTGTAAGTCATTATTTTGTACTTTGGTTTACGCTGAGTCCCAGGACTTTCTCCTCCCTCGTGGGCAAGCAGTCTGAAAGTCGACTGGCACTGTAAAAGCATCTATATATGTTTTTATTTTTGTTTACTGAAACAAAACTGGTCAGATTGTGGAACATATTTTACATTTTAGAGGTTTTAAACAAATAGCTTGTTCTGCAAGTTGTTGAGATTAACGATAATTTTGTTTTATTGGAACCATTTTACAGTATTGGTAAATGCTGAAAAATAATGCAAGAGCACATTTTCAAAGATAAATTTAATACTGGAACTGGGAAACATTTTAAATGAATAAACAAAACCTCATAAACAACAAATAAAATTAATTATGAACAAAATTGTCCTTCAAAAAAGGGAATAGTTGAAGACTTTTATCATCTAGTTTGGTAAAAAGAAGAGAAAACAATAAATCATGCAACTGATAATTATCTTGTTTTAATTGATCTTGGATTAATTAATTTATTGTTCATTTCCACAAGTTTATAGTTGAGAAGTAAAAAAAAAAAAGACACCTCGAACTGAAGTGACGTCTGGACTTAGAGACACATTTAGGTTATTTTTTTAAATCTAAACTTTAATAGTTTTTGTATTTACCATATTTGACATTTATAAAATCTGTTCTAACAGAGGAATATTCACATCATCGTAACACCTATATACAACATGTATGCTCGTCTCTGCGCTCCCTCTCTGGAATGGTCCATTTCCATTTCTGTCGGAAACAAGATGAAATTTCTCCCACTGAAATCCAGACTGAAGCTTGCATCACCGCCATCTTACACGCTTTTTTCCCTTCAGGCTTCAGCTTAGAAATATTTGGTTGACAAAAAAGAAAAATCCAGATATTTCAAACTGTGGCCGGTTGGAATATGTGGGTTTTACTCATAATGTACGAAGCAAATAGAAGCGCAATGCCATGGAGAAAAGATCCAAAAAATGAAGGACAGGATCTCAGATAAAGAGTTTGAGGAATCCCAGAAATGAGAACAGCATGTTGGGAAGCGACAGTGTTGTCTTTTTGTCATACACACAGTTATAGAGTATAAAAAGTACTTTTTTTCCCCCAGGTACCTGTACTTTACATTGAGTATTTTTTACTTTTACTCCCTATCTGCACTTTCTACTCACCTCTAACACAACAAGTGTCAATAATTCACCATTCAGTTGGATCCAACCAAAGCAAAGCAGCAGAAGAAGAAAAACAAAATGGAGGCTTCAACCTGAGTAACATTGCAAACAACAGGAACACATTCAGAGACGCAAGAACATTCCCCATCAGTTTGACAAATCCTTCCATGTTGTTGGATCAACTAATGATTAGTGGCAAATTCACTGTGCAAATGATCCTGACGGAGATTTGGTTTAAAGAAAAACCAGAACGCATATGTATTTTTTAAAACTTTCTATGCTAACAGAGCATGTTGTGAGGAAAAGTTAATTTTTTATGACAAGTATTTTGTATGACTAGCTTTTTTATTATTTTAGACTTATTGAAAGTCTTAGTTTTAGTATGTTTCAAAACTTCAACCTATACTTTTACTCGAATATGTGTCAAACTCGAGGCCCGTGGGCCAAATCCGGCCCGCCACAGATTTTTATGTGGCGCTCTAAGTTCTAGCCTGAACACCAAATGTGCTAAAATATTATTTAATCGATCAAATTAATGCAGTTTCTCTGTTTTGCCAAATTATGCCAATCAATTCCTCTAGTTTTTTGCAAATTATTGTGGAAATTCACCCTCTAATTTTTTGTATTAATAGATAATTGGTAGTTTATTGGAGATTTTCTTTTTTTAAAAATTCTCAAAAACTTTCTCACTTATCCTAATCAGCTGCTTCAACCTTAATTGATGTTAGATTATAATCCATAATCCATACAGCAAGTAATAAAAAGTCACATTTGCCAACATAAGCGCAAATTAGTCCCACAAACAATAATAAAATTCTGGAGGAACTGAAAAGATGTTAAATATTTAATTTGAAGAATTTGTTGATATTTTGACAGTTTGTGAACGACCACAAACTGTTTTATCAATACATTCAACCGGCTCTTCAAGAGCATTGATGATCTTCACTTGGTCCAAATCAAAAATGAGTTCGGTTCTGCTTTCCTAGACTATTTTTTCATCCTGGTCTCTGTTTATAACTTTAACTTGAAAGAGTTTCCAGAAACAAAATCACTGTTTTAGTACAAAGATTGTTTTGTTTTTTTCTGGCATGTGAACTAAACTGTTTTATCTCAACATCATAAATGTGAAGTTTGTCAGAATGTATTTATTCTTTTAATCCATTTTATTTGGCCCAGAAGTTGTTTCTCCTGATGTTTATCGGTGTATCAACTTCTGCTCCGTTGCTATTGGCAGCTGCCGGTTACCACAGCAACCAGGAACTGATGGCTCCTCCCCTTTTTTTGGTTGCCATCGGTAACTGTGGTTTGTGTGTGCTTTCTTTACAAGTATCATGTTTTAACATTTATTTTAATATCAAAGCAGGGTTTTATGAGTAACTTTGTTTTGTAAATGTTTTTTACTGGCATCGTTACTAATATTGTTCACGTTAGCCATGTTTGATTTTACGACTACTGCTAACTAATGCTAACTAATGCTAACTACTGCTAACTACAGCTAACTACAGCTAACTAATGCTAACTACAGCTAACTACTGCTAACTAATGCTAACTACTGCTAACTAATGCTAACTACTGCTAACTACTGCTAACTAATCCTAACTACTGCTAACTACTGCTAACTACTGCTAACTACTGCTAACTGCTCACTGTGACCTACTGTTTTGTCGTTCAGGGTTGTTTATTATAGAAGCTTCTGGACTGATGTGAACTTGATTTCCTCTTTCGTTGGAACAAATCCAGTGAACCTGAATGCGCCTGTTCTGAAGTCGACCTGCTGCCTAGACGGGTCACACATGAACTCCAAAAAGTGCCTGTCTGTAATCCTCCAGGTGTGTATTCAGCTCAGCCCTCCGGCTCCTGTGTGACTTCTCAGAGGATGGCTACAATTATTGATGACAGAGGAGAAGATTGCTATGCATGGCCTGTACAGGATGCCATCAGAGACGGTGATTGGGAACCTTTTGAAAATGTCAAAGTGACACATGATTATGAATATTAAACATCCATGTATGGAGCATGATTACTTGAAAGGGGGAGGGAAATCAACAGTCGGAGGCTGGGATGTCATTGCGAACTGTGATGAAATATGGCAGAACAGCAGCGACTGAATATATCAAAAAGATTAACAAAAGTGACATTTCTTAATGGCAAAGGGCATATATCATCATTTTTAATTATTATTATTTTCTTTTTATTTATGTTCAGGCTTGTAACTCACAATATTTCTCAGAATAGACCCAAAAGCTGCCAAAAAATGGTTGACATCGCATTTGGAGTGTTTAATTCAGACATCAGGGCTTAATGCTAAAGCAGTGATAATCTCTTATGATCCTAGCCAGTGTAACAGATGCTGTGGCTGTTCTGACCAGAACAAGAGGTTCTGACCAGCATTATTACTTTGCTCTGAACTTATGTTAAAAGTAGTAATATAATAAATACATTTAAACAACTTTGGGATATAAAAAATTGTTTTACAGGTTTTAAAGTGAAGAAATGAAGCCAATTTTGTGGAACTTGAAATTTTGTCAAATCTCTAAAGTTTGAGTCATTTCTGGTGAGGATGGCTGTGCGTTTTTTTCTTGTATCCCTTGTAATTTTTTTTAAAGTAAGGAGGACCAATCCTGCCATAATTGAGAATGATTGAATTATGGCATTGAATTATTGAATGCCAATTACTGAATTATGACTAATTAAAAATAATTACAGTACCAAAAAGCAACTTGACAAATAAGTGTATCATCAAATGTAACAAAATCATAATGAAAAAAGAGATTAGTTCAATAATTATTAATTTATTTATTTCTGTATTTAATCTTAAATATGGCAGGATTTAGCCTCCATATTTTTTTAACACTCTATTCTTAGTTATGTTACATCCCTTTCATATTTTTAGATTTTCTTTTTAAAAATATGATATTTGCCCTTTAAATCTCACAGTGAGAATATTTTCATCACCATTTATGCAACAATTTCACAAACTGCACAGTTTTACTACTCTATACCTGGACAAATAACATTTAGTCTCGTGTTTTGCAGTAGTGGATTAGCAGCTACTGCGTTTGGCCCAATGTGGTGATAGATGACCGCTTCAATAAAAACAAACCACAGCCATAAATTGAGAACAATTATTTCCTGAATTATTAATCAAAGATGAACTAACTGTGCAACAGACAGAAGGAGCTGCACAGTCATTTATTTATTCACTTATTCAGATGCGCAGTGATTAGAGCAGAACACTAAATTATGTGTTAGCTTGTTTTTTCCATCTCTAACCGATAGTTAAAGGTAACCTTTGTGCAGTTGTGTCCATTGCATGAATCAAGGAAAGCAGCAAAACAGAACATGGAGTCTTCCTGATCTGCCCTTATCATAAAAACTGGAGAAAAATTTGTGCTCTGTGCAGAATCAGATTCTTGCAATATAAACAACAACAAAAAAACAAAAACAAAACTGTAAATGTTTTTTGGGATTTACAAAAAAGAAAGTAATAAAATCCTTTGTATCCCTTCGTTTTCCTGTTTTGTCCCATTTAAGCCACTAGCATGTTGTTCTTACTGGGATTTTATGACATCTTGTCGCTGCAAAATGAAAGTAAAATATTTAAATTCAAACAGTTCATAGTTCCTTCATATTCACTACTGTTAACTCTTATCATCCTAAATAAAATCCAATTCAACCAGTTGCTCTCAAAAGTTACTTAGTGAGTAAATAGAGTCCACTTGTGTACATTTTATTTTTTGTTTTACTCCAACTCTTCAGTGAATATCAGTGAACAGTTTTAAGACGTCCAAGAATCACAGGAGCCATAAAATTGTGGAGAAACTTGAAACACGGTTAGGATATAAAATAAAATCTTAAAGTCTTACTGGCACCTTCTCCCATTTTATATCACAATCAAGTAACTATGTGACCCTCAGTTATTGCAAAAACCCTTTTAATATCAAATGAGTTAAAATAAATTTGACTTTTTAATTTAACGCCTTGAAATTGGGCCTCTGTCTCTTTAAGAAGCCCGTGCTCTTTCCCACACTCTGCCTTCACAACAATGCTTCTCGTTATGCCGTTTACAGCTTATGGAGCATCAGTCTGTGGCAGCATCATGCTCATGTACTGGGAAGCTGGTGAGGGCTGATGGGAAAATAGACTGAGCTTAAATTTAAAGCGAATTTTAAGATATAAAACTTAAAATTCAATCTGGTTGAGCCGGAGGGAAAAGAATAGGCAAAGATTTCATTTTTGAGACGTGACTCAGACTTTATTCTGAGATTATCTCTGAAAAACAGAGTATCTTTAGTCAGAGGCTTTTTAGATTCACTGTAATACAGACTGCTACAGGAGATGTTTCATCATCTACAGAGACTCTGAAGTTACAGCAGCGTTTAGTTTCCCTTTGGGATCAAAAAAAAAGTATTTTTGAATTTGAATTGAATTTGAGACATACTTCAACATATTTGCATCTGTTTTTCTGTATTTATTTGTGATTAATTGTAAAAACAATGCATCTTTTTGCTCCTACTTCACAACACTGTGCTGGTCTGTCATGTAAAATCCCAGTAAAATATGTTAATTGTTGTTTTAATGAGACAAAATGTTACTAAATTCAAGGTGCATGAAAACTTTTGAACCTGGCAGGAAGGAAAATAAAACCAGCGACGATAACAGAATAAAAAGATTGAACAGATAACTGTTTGGTCCCTGAATGTATTAAAAATAAAAGAAGGAACTTCAGACAAAATGTTTAAAAGCTCTCGCCGTGTGAATTTAGGGATTTTCCTGCAGCGGAAAAAGCCGTTAGTGACTAGACTGGCCTTGTATGATAGTGGAAAATATGAACATGAGGGAATCAGAGTAAAAGTTTTCATTATTAATTTCCATTACCGCTCCTCTAACTTGTGCTCGTAAAATCTACTGTATCCTTGACGGCTCCGTCGTCTGAGTTTATGTTGCAGAAGTTTTTGCCTGAATTTCGCAGATAAAAACCTACAAACCAAAATAATGCCTGTCTAGTTTTCCCACCAACTTCTCTGATTCTAATCCACTAATTTCACTGGATCAGCTTAGCGGAGCTGTGTCACCTTAATGTGCTCAGTCATGTGTGCAAAATGTTAAAGTATGCATGCAAACACACACACACACACACATACACGCGCACACAAACACGCGCAAACACACACACACACTCACAGTAATGCCAGGTTCAAACAGTAATAAGCTGCTGTGCTTCTTGCAGTCGCTGCGGCCCACATCTGAAGGAGATGACTTGGCAAAAGAGGTAAGATTCTGTCTCTTATTGCTTATGTCAGCTGAAAGTTGTGTTATTGACCAGAATGAAGGGTTGGATGGAGGGAATAAAAAGAGAAATCAGAGGAATAATTCAAGTACAGCTGCTTTACAGCTAAAAACATAAACAGCTTCCGATCCCATTGCAAAGATTTGTGTGGAAATATAAAAAAAGGGGAAAATATACAGCAAACGTATTCGCAGCCCTTGAGGTCACTGCCACACTAAAGCCACACAGTAATGATTTCACTGGGATTTTACCTGCATCATCAACACAAAGTAAAACCCGACGTTGAAAAGGCGTTAAAATGATGCTGGATTTTCACTCAGATTAAAACCTCACGTGTTTATGTTCAGCCCCTTTAATTTGATACAAATCACTAAGATTAAACATGCAAACTGATCTATAAACCCCGCCAGGTTTTATAGATCAAACTTGAGGTACGTGGGCCAAATCTGGCCCGCCAATGCTATTGGCACTCTACATAACAACTTCAAAATAAAATAAACTTTATCGGTTTTTATTTGTATCATGTCACATTACATAAAGGTAAAAGGATGCTAATATTATTTATTTTAGGACGTACACATTGAGTTTTATTGATATTTTCTGAGAGGAAAGGTTCTTACATGTTGATAAGACCTGAAATGAATATTAGTTTGAATTTGGGCTAAAATTCAAAGGTGATCAGGATTTTACAGTTTGTGCTGCTAAACTTTGGAACGGTTTATCTTTTTATGTACGAATCGTTGAGACTGTTAAGACTTTGTCATTTGTTTAGTCAAGTGAGAAAGTTTTTGACAATTTTTGGAAAAAAATCAGCAATAAACTCCCAGCTATGTATCGGTGCAAAAATGTTTGGGGATTTGTTGATTTTGCATGAATTTCCACGACAATTCGCAAGAAACTGGAGGGACTGATTAATATAATCTGGCAGTAAACAGATAGAAACTGCATTTATTTGACTGATGAAATAATATTTTACAACACTTTATATTTAGTCTACAACTCAGAGGGCCACATAAAAAGCTGTGGCGGGCCGAATTTGGCCCACATGCCTCGAGTTTGACACACATGTCCCAGAGGTTTGTTTATTAATATTAATGAACACAGCAGACAGGACAGGGATACATTTATAACAAAGTTTAAAGCAATATCTCAAGTGTTACCTTTGCAGAAAACCTCAATCAATCTTCTGAAAATGTAAACACACAACGTTTGTCCTACATGCAGGACGGCAGCACTGCCACACACAGCGGTGGCCGCGTCATGCTGTGGAGCTTTTTTCACTGGAAAATGCTCAGACTGATAAGAAGAACAATTATGTATCACTCTGTGTTGGCATGTCTCATAAAGTCCAGATTAAATACATGAATTATGTGGCTCTGATGTGACAAAACATGAATCAGCTCAAGAGCTACGAATACTTTTGTCATCCAGTCTCGTCACCTTTGTGTTGTTAATATTCGGCAGTCAGTGGACAGCATTTGCTACAATCGTGATTTTCATATAAAAAAAAACTCCTCTAAAATGTATAAATAATTAAAAGTGGTACTACATAAGTTATATAGTAACTAAATATAAACAACAACCATTGAAACAAACCTTGTAGGACTTTGTGATTTATGTACAGGTACTGCTACTCTAACACCTTCACCACAAACCGGACAGGATGCATCATGTGGAAAGATGCTGCTAGCTCCTTTCTCAGCCTAAATAAATCCACTCACACTTTGGATGGCTCAACACCAACAAGGTTTGCTTACTGTTATCTTGTATACGATACAGAACAGACAGATAATAGTACTTTGTTAAATAATTACATAATTTATCAAGTGTAATGATCTGATACAGCTTCATGAAGTCAGAGTAGATTCAGGAACACAGACGTAGTAATATTATTAACAATAACAAATAGATGCCAACAGAATAAATAAATCCTTTTTAAAGTGCATTTTTCCTCTTATCCCTTCGTAGTGATCGTGTACCAGAGTTGGTCATTGTCTCTGAGAAGTCAAGGCGATGCTGAGTTAGGTTTGGTTCCCATTCAGATCAAAACGAGATAAACAGACAAAGAAGAAGAAGAAAAAGAAGAAGAAGATGAAGATGATGAAGAAGAAGAAGAAGCCGTGTCTGATTTGTGCCTAAACTGTACATACAAGTGGTTTGTTAGCAGCACAAGTTTAGTGTTTTTGACTTTGGCCGTAGCTTTTCACTGGTGAGAGCAAAGAAACAAACGGAGATGCAGAGGAGGAGAAGGAGGAGGAGGAGGAATCTGTTTTTGTCTCAACACAGATATAGTTCCTGTCTTGTTTTGTCACCAGGACTGGAAACAAAAGCTGGCTTTAGCAAGCAAAGTCCTCAAACACGCCGTGGTGACCCGGGCGATGTGGGTGCGGCGCAGGAAGAGGGTGAGAAAGAGGGTGCGGGTGGGGGACGTGGTGGTTGGGGAGGATCGTGTTGGCGTACGCCCCCTCTGGGTGACTCCGTGTCGTGTCATTGGGCTCCTGTTGGAGGCAGACGAAACAAAGTCAGAACCAGGATCAAATATTGGATAAAAAACACCTGAATAAGTTCATGTTTCACAAGCTTTTTGTTTTCATCTTTCCAGTGTTTGGGATGTAAATATTATGGCTGAAAACTGAGTGAAAAGCTGTGATTAGCCTAGCCGAGCTGCTTCAAAGTGTCATTTGTCCGTTATAAACGACCTGCTCTAGAAAACGAAGAAATGCAACGGCTAATGCGATACTCCTTCACCTCTGTGTGACTCCTGGGGGCCTTCCCCGAAACTCGCCTCTGACTTTGAAGCACCGCTGGAGTCCACAGCTGTTCAGCCCAATTACTCACCATCTGTCACAGTTACAATATGCAAAGCAGACTTCGACTCACTCCGGCTTAGATTCAACATGAGAAGTCTATTGTTTAGAAAATAAGCAACCTCAGAATTAAGTTGTGCAATAATGAATCTGAGCTCCAGGGGAGGTTGTGTTTTGCAAAGTGGTTAAAAAGTAATTAGGAGCATTACACTCCCTATTCTCATGTGGTGGAGAAATATTAATTTGCTTCTCTATTACTTATCCAGTTGCTGTTTTGTAATACAGCTGGCTGCAGTGCTGCAGGGTAACATGTGGGATGTACAGTCAGCATGAAAACTAGGAAGGAGTAATTTATTACAGAACAGTTTTTGCTTGGTACCTTTGCTTTCATTTCTTCTAGACCCACTGTGGCAACAGTTGTGGTCGGCTGGGTATTCTTCTTCTCTTCTTTCTGCGGTCTCAGCAGACGCTGAAGCCGATGCTTGATCAGCTGGTTTCACCGACAGAACGTCAGGCGGGAGACAAAAAATCAGGACAGAAATACAACATTTGGAAGAGGAATTCTCTGTAAAATCGTTTGTGCTCAAAAACATTTGCCCCCTTACAGATTTCTTCTTTACTTTTCACGTTTCACGACCACCGAACCAAATGTCATGCATGGCGGTGGCAGCGTCATGCTAATGGCTAATTAGCTACCAGTGGTACTGGCGTATCAGACAGAGTGAATATGGTTTGTTAAAAGGAGCACTACCTACACAGTTTGGCTTGGAGATAAATAAATGACAGTATATAATCAGGATAGACGCCTGATCAATATCAATATTATCTATTGATCAATATCAATATTATCTATTGATATTAATCAATATTATCTATTGATATTGATCAATATTATCTATTGATAAACATCAATAGAGAATACGTCTGATAGAATATTCACTAAATTCTCTGGAATCCGATCCAGAACTGCAAAGCATTCTGGGATCAGAAGTGGGTAGCACCAACTAACTCTCGCTCTTTGGTTACCTAGCAACTCGCTTATTCTTTGGTTACCTAGCAACAACCTGCGCAGCAGCAGTTCAAGTTTCCGCCGCTGAGACTAACAGAGAGTATTTCAGACATAAAAAACAAAAAAAACGAATCAATAATTATTGATTTTGACAGATATGAAACACACATATTGTCATATGTCTTTTAGCCATATTAAGTTTTTCCTTCATATAGAGTCCACCTGTAGGTAATTTCATAGTGTCCCAACAAATTGATGTCTTAAGTAAATGACTAAAAACTAAAAAAACAACATCACCTGCATGCTTTGATATGTTTCTATAAACTTCTGCACTGGAACTAGAATGTAGATTCACAGAATCAGTGCTTTGTCTGGATAAAAGTCAACATATTTAGCAACAAGCTTTTGCTGTACCTCATAAACGTAATCCAGTATTTCTAAGACCGTCAGGATGCTGGCGCCGATGAATAAACCCATTTGTCCACCAATGTCACCTGAAACACAGAACACCAACGTTTCAGGAAGGCAGTGATGGAGGCAGTCAAAGGGAAGTTTGTATTTTCTGTAAGTCTTTACAAAATTGAGCTCCACTGTTTTGAAGGCAGTTTACAAATCAACTTTAAAACAGAGGGTTTCTTACCTAATAATCCTGCAACGTCGTACGCTTTCTTTTGCTCAATTGTTTCATAATTCAGTGCTTCAAAGAAAATATCTAACACCAAAAAATTGTCTCTGTAAAAACAAAACAAAACAAGAGAGAGAGAAAACAATTCAGAAAACATCTGTTTGTTTCCTGTTATTCACCTCAAACAGACCTCATTTAAAATAAATTCACCAAGTCATCTTTCTGGTCACGTTAACACAGGATAGGATAACGAGGCCTACAGTGTTTTGAATAGATCTAAGCAGTGATAGTGAGATAATGAGGTCTTTCAGGGTTTTGCAGAGATGAGCGGGACGTGCACCAACAGCATGCTTAGTCACTCACATCCTCCAGTCTCTCTGGAGTTTATGGAGTCTTTTAATATTAAATGTTGTGAATCTTCATGGGCTCTCTGGATTAGCCATGTTTATCTGCTCTTATATCCCGTTGATTAGACACTGAGAGGTGTTACAGATTCCCCCTGCACTGAATTAGCTTTAAATATTAGCATTAAACATTTTGCTTGATGTTCCTTGAACTTTTCCACCTTTTGTGACTTTATTACAATAAAATTTTATGTATTTCATGGGGAGAGATTAATGTAAAGACATAAGTATGTGTTTGTGTTTTTTCCTCAAGAAAATCAGCAAAATGTTTATTTATTAAGCTAAGTCATAATGAAAAGCATCTCAAGGCACTTTAAAACTACAAACACACAAACAGATTGGATAAAATATCACTGCTAGTCCAATCTAAAACTAAATTTGATATAAAAGCAGTCAAATCCAGCTGACACTGTCAGGAAGTGAATGAAGTATATTCCAAAAAGTATAACCTCTTCAGCTTTGATACACCTATAAGCTTGAGTGACGTCCAATTTTTAATACATAGGGTTTTTTATGATGTCAGCTTTTTAGGTTTTAACAGCTTCTGGTTTCAGGAAATTCTTTCCACAAGTTTTATGAGTGTTTGTGGCCATTTTGACAAATCCTTCAGAAGTGCATATCTGAGGTCAATCAGTGATGTTGGATGAGCAAGTTCCTCCAAATCAGGCACTCTCATCCGTGTTTGTGCAAACCTTGCTTTGTCCACAGACATGTTGGAAAATAATAATAAGAAGAGGGAGACCTTTTTGTAAACTTGGTGTTTAATGGGAGAAGCGAAACAGGTGCATCCGATTGGTGGTGATGAACAAGCCCAGGCAAGCAGGCTTTGTTGCAGTCAATCAGTAGGTTGGTCAAAACAGTTGCGTTTCTCTCTCGCTTTTTTGTAATGAGTAACTAAACCACACTTTGAAAATGTATCGGAGTAAAAGTATGAAATTAAGTTCAGAAATGTAGTGAAGTAAAAGTGAAAGTTATAAAAATTTTCATACTCGAGGAAAGTATGAAGCACTCCAAAATATACTGAAGTAAAGTAGTGAAGTATTTTTACTTTGTTACTATGCAACACTGGTCCTGATAACCGTCAAGCCAAGACTTGTGCATTAGATATTAGAGGAGGACATTTCTTACTATCTCGCATATATTTAAAATAGAAAACAACCCAAGTCCTTCATGTTTCCTTGGTGTCTGGAAAAGGAGCAGTTTCAAAAACCTCCTAATTGCTACAACACATTCTATGGCCACTGTGCCGTTACCTAGCAACCCCAGCGGAACTCCAGGACATTTGGTCAGCCGGTTTCTCTATGCACTTTACAATGGCTGCTGGAAAAGGCAAGTGATTTGTTGTTGATTTACAGTTCAGAAGCTACTTGCCAAAGTCTTGTTGGTTGTGCAGGAGGTTCTCCTTCTGCTTTTCAAAGATGTACAGTTGTATAATTGTGCATCTGTTTGCAGCCATTTTCACATGCTAGTGTAAATGCAGAGTTGGAGGCTCTTACTTGGATTTTGCTTTCTGTTTTTGTATCACATTAAATATCCTGACCTTTTTGGTTGAACCATGACAAACTGTGGAAAGTCCAAGGGATATGAATGCTTTATGTTATAAAGTTTTAATATTGCTTATCAAACCTATCGATGATATACGACGATATATGTTACAACGGTAAATGAAGCTCTGCTTGAGGTGTCTTAGCTGTTGAAACCAGTCAAATTGCTGTTAAGATGCATGTTTTTCAGTGACAGAAAGACTAACGCTGGAAAACAAATACTCCCACTTCATCATAGTAATTATTTCTGCTCATATAACACAAAGCAATAAATGTTATTACCAGTAGATTGGATTAAAAAGAGTTCCAATAATCAACATCTGTTTACTGGAACAAACATAAATTGAAGCCTGGATGAAAATCTAATTGATTCTACTTTATATTTGTTGTTGTTTGTTAGCACAGGATGGAGGGCCTACTTTATGACTCCCTAACCGAGCAACACACCGCCGCTCATAAGCGAGCTCGTTTCTGGCTGAGGGTCCGTACCTGATGTAGTCCTCTGACTTGTCATATTTCCTGGAGAGATAGCGAGCTGAGCCCTTGCTGGGGATTTTGACCATGGAGAGCTCTTTACCGTAGCGGGTGAGGTTACAGGGCGTCTCACATGGACAGATATCCCCGCTGTTCTTCTGCAGCTGGGCTGCAAACACACAGTTTTAAACAGATGTAAGGTGTGATTATAATTTCAGTTGAACTTATTTCACATTGTGCTACGTCTTCAGTCCCTTTTTGTAACGGCGTAACATCTCAGAAACGGAGACGTTTCAGCCTCGTTGTGTTGTAACATCCGCTGTTGATCAAGTATTTTGGTCTTCATCTGAGTGTCTTTGAGAAAACTTAAAACAAGACTAAACTAATTTACAAGCAACTTTTCAGCAAGATGTAGAAGCTTGACTTTTTCCCCGTGTTATAAATGAAATGATCTGACAGTGAAGCCAGTAAGGAAATGTTGACCTGAAATAAATATCTTGCTGAAAAGTTACTTGTAATTTAGTTTTATTTCAAGTGTACTCAGATATTCGCACCAGAAACTCGGTAAGATTTTGTGTTTTTGCAGGGAGTCCGCTTTATTCTGGCTGAAAAAGGGCGAGAGAGAGCAAGACTTGCTATGCATCAACTATTTAACTATTCTTACTCGGCCTCTGTTTGTCATAAAACATGTTGGATTTAGAAATGTTAACCTTTTGAAAAGCTAACACTTAAATTGAGGATCTTCTCTAGGAAAACACGTGATTCCTGTTTTAGTAAAGCAACACTATTTGCAAGTGCAAGACACTTAAAACATTTTGAAAGGGCTTTAAGGGTTTCATCATTAACAAAACCTGTTGTATATCGACTATTTAATGCAAATTGCCTGCACTTCTAGTATAAATCATTAATGACCCCCCAAAGCAGAAAGGTTAGACAAAAAAAAACATTTGAAATGCTTTTCTTGTTTAGTCTTATCTTAAAGATCTTATAAATAAATTGGAATCGATTTCTATGCTTATCTGCAGCACAACGCTTTGCAAAAACTGGACATCAGACGTTGGCAGAAAACAGATCAGTGAATCTTTAGGGTTTCGCAACAAATCAACAGACTATCGCCTAACGGAGAACCGCAGCAGCTGAATTCACAGAAATAACGGCAGAATACATTTTCTCTGACTAAACGAACAAGTAAAGTCTGCAGAAGAAAATGCATATCGTACCTTTTATTCAATTAAGACAAACATACAGTAAGTGTCTGGCATATTAATACATTAAATACATATTTATGATCTCTAAAACAATGGCACTCCCTTTCCCACTCTTAAAATTCTGAAAGCATTCAGTTCTGGCTAAAAATGTGCAGAGGAAGCACTGAAAGCAGTAATTATAATTTGATGATTTATGGATTTTACAACTCTAACAATCAGGTTATTTGTATGCAGGAGCATGGAGGCCTACGTCTGTCTGATGTAGGAAGAAAGCACCTCCACAGAAATGCAGAAATTATTTTTTAATACATCACCTTTGATGGAGTGGTGAATCCGTCCGTTTGATTCAGGAATATGAGCCACATGAATGCGACCCATTCTTGTGAGATATATCTAAGATCTCATTCAGCCACATTTTAAACAGAGTTTCAATTCAGTGAAGGGAGACATAATTAAATTTCTGGCTTATTTGGCTGAGAAATGCTAATTGTCCAGCCAAGTCAATAAAGTGGCCCTTTCACTGGCGTTTCTTTGAAACCAAGGCTCGGCTGCGATATCCACTGAAAGGCAGGGTGAGGTCAGGCGCTGGGGAATGAAGCGCAGCTTTAATTTGAAACATTCGGTGTGAAAGCAGCGCAGCCATCAAGCGCTAAAGTACCCAAATCACCACGAGAAAAAGTAATTTTAAAATACCCAGTCCAGGAGAATATGAAAAGATATCCTCATCATATTTACTGGTTGTGTTTTTGGGGTAATGGGAAAAGAAATGAAGGAAGATTGTTTCTTACCGAGTGCTTTGTCAACACAGTTGATTTTACTGGGAGGGCAGATATCTGCAGTTCCTGGAAATAAGAGCAGAATGTGAATTGAATCAATCAGGAACAAAATGCTCAGTGACCCGTGTCTGCTGCGATGAGGCAGCGCGTCTGTGAACAACGCTCCTCTGCAGCTGATCATTCGTCTCCAGATGGAGGCGGGCGCGCCTCGCGGCCGCGTCTTGGACATCCGTCCTTGATTGCACGGAGAAATGGAGCGTGCTGGCTCCGCCCGCCAGCCATGTTTAGACCCTCTTCAAAAACCAATCAACAAGCCACACACTGCCCAGGTCATTAATGACATGCATTCATCAGCGAGACAATTAATTTGTATTTGTGCGTTTTGTGAGACTCATGGGTCTAATATTTGTGGAGAAACGTTAAAAGGTTTTGAGGAATATCTTTTCCTCTAAAAACAGAGCCGCCGTCGACTCATTTCATATTTTATATACATATTTTACATTTCAAGATGCATTTGACAGGAGAGACAAAAAGCCATTCTCTGTCTGCTGTCCACACATCAAGAACAAGAACAACTTAATAGCTTCTTTTTGTGGTGGACACCCAAATATAGAAATAAGAGGAGGCACTGAAATATTCATTTTTTAACTCACAAATCTCTAAATAAAACATACAATTTAGGGTCTCGCTGCTTTATAGACCCAATGTTTATGCATTGTTACTTTTAAAGTAAATCTGAGGACTTTGACAAAAATAAAGGGCACAATCAGATAAACAAAGTGTGTCTGTATACCTTTTATATAGAATAATTAATGTTTTTTTAATGTAAAATAAATTCCAGTCCTTCATACGTTACTTAATTAATGAGTAGAGTCCACCTGTAGGTAATTTAATCTCATTAAATCATTAATTATGCAGCACAGAAACTACAGAGGAGCTGCAGAAATCCACAGTTCAGGCAGGGGAATTTGTCAACAAGAAAACTATTAGATTTGTTGAAAAACGTAATTAGAAATCCATCTTAAAGTTTGGCACAAGACAAACTTTAAGATTGTCTTGAAGTTTGTCCAGCAAACAAAGTTTTCTGGTTTAACATCAAACTTTCTGGTGAACGTGAGGCAGAAAACGAACTGCTAAACCCTCAGTCTTCAAAATGCTTTTTATGTTTTAAAAATAAAATTTTAATAATAAAGTTGAAAATCATATATTATTTCCCAGATGTATCATAATTATGCACAACTCCGTGTTGTCGTATATAAAATAAAATTCCCCCAAATTGCGAAATTTGTTTGCAACATGGAGAAATGTAAAAAAAAAAGGTGATGATTATAATTGCATAAATAAATTTTCTTGCCGTTTTAAAAGTATTTTACAAAGAGAAAATTATAAAAATTACAGCTTTGTTTTTTATTCACATGATTTACTGAATGTCAATGCAGAAAACGCCCAGCAAAACGAGAAAGTTTAGAAAACAAACACCGTTAATATTGACACACTGTGTGAAATTTAAACAACAGGAAAAACTCCAACAAATATTCACATTGAAAGTAAATAATTACAAAACCTAAAAGCTTTAAAGTGTCGCCACGTCATGGCAGTGAAAACATTTGTCCTCATTGTCCTGCGTCACCAGCTGCTTTCTGTAACTGATGTAATTAATAATGAGAAGAAATAATATCATATCCTAACCACAGGACTTTCTATTGCATTACTATAAATCAATTCAGAAAGCTCCAATTCTATCAGTAAACAGTGAAGTCAGGATTTTAAAACCAAGTGTTTTCACTTAGAAATAAACAATTACATTTATTGTTAATACATCTGACCTTTATTTAAAGCTGATTAACTAAATCATGTGCACATTTGCCCCCAATTTAATCCATGTCAGCATTAAACTGTAACATGTTTGCAGACTGCTGGTTGATGTTGCAAAGCTGTGGTTTGTGGATTCGGTTCTCTCTTCTGACAGTCAGTTCTCCTTTACATGACAATTGAAGCCGGTTCCGTAGCTTTTCCTCTGGGCCGGCCCACATGCATTAGTTCTGCCCCATCAAGTGGGGCGGGCTGCTCATTACCTGTCGGATGCTACGACCCTCTGGGGACTTGGGGAGAGAAATAACCCTTGCAAGATAATGTCAGCTTAGAGGTTTGGGAGATCTTCACTCATCAGAAGCATTATTAATTTCTTCTTCAAACAGAGATTGGATCAGAGTCCATAACTGAGTTTTCAGGCCTGCAGACAAACAGGCAGAAAAATGAGCCTCGGTCTCAACACTGCAAAAAACACAGAATCTTACTGTGTATTTTCTAGTGCGAATATCTCAGTCCACTAACAAATAATAACTTTTCAGCAAGACATTTTGCAGGTTTCCCACTTCCATTTGGGTCTCAACTGTTCCTAAAAAAACAATATTTTGAGTAATTATGTGTTAATGTACCAAATAAGGTCTGAATTTTATGCAATAACATGAAAAGATATTTAGAAAAGTTGAGCGTGTGAATAGTTTCTCAGATTACTGAGGCTGCAGAGTCTCAGGTGAATCATTTCCTTATTTAAACCTCTCACAAATGAACTGTTCTTTTCTCTTTGAGTCTGTGGCGTTATGATAAGATCTAAAGAGTTCTCTAATGCCTTCAGATGGTCCCTGGAGTCGAATAGGGCGTTTAAAAAGGTCTACAAAACAATTATAATAAATCAACTGGATTTGAAATGACTTTCAGTTCATCCAGAAATCCCCCCAGCAGCACCTGACAGCAAAGCGTTTAAAGTCTCCATCAAAGGATCTGCAGGTAGCTTTTGTTATAAAGTCTCTTCATTCCTAATTAAAAGGAAAACGGAGGGGATTTTTCTGTGAACACACACAGAGACTCTATTGGAAAGGTGCTTTTCTGGTGGTTTTATATCCGAGATGAATAAGAGGTCATGCAGTAGAGCTGATTTTTAAAAACGGGTTTCATTTCAATCATCTTGGTAAACACTGAGGCGTCTCCAAAACTCATCGTTACAACAAGGAGGAGTTTGAATTTACTGTGAATTTTCTCTAAACTGCACAGTCAAAGTCACACCTACAAATTAAAATGCTGGAAAACATTTTATCATCCCCTTTTTTCCACAAAATTATGTTTTTAGTCTCAAAACTCTGACATCAATCACAGAATTATGTTTTTAATCTCCAAGTTTTGACTTTGATTTCAAAATTCTGACTTTAATCTGGTAATTCTGAAATTAAAATTAGAATCCTGCCATTTTTCACTCAAAATTATGATCTCACTCTCGTAAATCTGAATTTAATTGCCCAATTTAAGTTTGAATTCTGTGTTTAATCTCAAGTTTTTTTCTCAGAATTTTGACATTTTAAAAAAAAAAAAAATCCTTTAAATTTAGAATTGTGACTTTTCATCTCAGACTTTCAGAATAGACATCGGAGGATGTTCAAGCAGAAAAGACCTGCACCACAGCTGGATTTACTTTGACTAGGCCGCTTGAAAGCTTTCACTGAGAAGGGCTCTATCTGCTCATAAGACTGGGATGAACTGGATGAATCGCCTCTTTCTTTCTGCATTCAGTGTTCAGTTTTCCTGTGAAACGCTGTGAGGTGACACCTGTTGCTAATTGGTGCTTTTTAAATGAACTGAACTGAATTGCGGTTCCAGTGGTTGATGAGGCCACATCGATTGGATTTCCTCTTTTAGACGTTGCTCTTTAAACCTTTTCTGAATTACTTGAGCCATTCATTTTGGTGTTTTTAAGTGTCAGCTGAGATTGGAGCCGGTGTGGGTTTCCTCCCATAACTCGAGGCTCTGGCCTCCTCGCCTGCTCGTTAGCCACATCGCTCACGCAGCTTGCTTTCAGTGACTCAGCTCTTTGACTTCCTGCTCTCGAACCGTGATGACGCACGAGCGCAAACATCGCGCCTGATGTTTGTCAGGCCCGACTCTCCAGCATATTCAGATTCTCCACAGGGAGGTTGCTCAAATGGTTTTCTTTGAAAAAGAAAAAAAGTAATGAGGGTTCTCATTGACAGTCATTTTGAAGACATAAATTTGCTTCATGTCGTTTATTACCGTAAAATCTCAGTTCTTTCGCTTGTGCCACTTCGTGCTGATTGCGATTAACCCTCTGGCTTTTAATCCAGCGGTTTAACGGTTCCACACGCTGAGCCCAACGGGATGAATTATGGCAACTGTGATGACAGCTTTACAGTTCTTCACTTTAATCGTTTCCAAAGTGGTTGTGACCACATCAGTGGAAACCGACGACATTCCAATCAACCTCAGTTACGCTTTCAGCTTAATTCCGAGGAACAAATCACAAAGCCGACACTGGAGGAGGGAAGATTTCATAACTGCCAATAAAAGCTTGGGGAAAAAAAAAGAATAATTTTCCACATGACGCAACATCTGGGACAATCATCTTTAGCTGGAATAAGTTGAATCGGTTGTTTTCTTTGTGATGTTATCGTTCTGCGATGACATTCCTGGAGGGAGTTTGGCTGCTTCAGTTCGTTGAGGTTTGGAGGTAAACGTCTCTGCAACCTTTCAATAACATTTTTTCCTTCACTTGGGATCATTGTTCTGTTTCAACGCCAAGTATTGGTCAACTTCCAGTTATTAGACAGAAATAAAGTCGGATTTTTTTGGACATTTGCATCAGATGGAGACAAAACGATCAGAGTGGACCAAAGTATTAGTCAGGACAAGGCTGCTTGTTATTACTGAGTTCTGCATGTGACGCCTTTCTTCTACATTCTCCATCTGTTGGAATGGAGAAATTCTGAGTTTTTTAAATTATTATTGCACATTTTCTACTTTTCAAACTCAGAAATTTCCTTTGCTTTTAGAGATGTTGTAGATAAAAAACAGGAGTAAATTTCCACCAAAATCTCAAAAATTGTAATCTGAGAAATTTTCTAGAAAAAACAAGACATTTTCTGAGTTTGAAAAGTTAAACTTTATGAGTTTGTTCTAGCAAATGTTTTACTTTTCCAACTCAGAAATGTCCAGTTTTTAGGGCGATTGTAGATAAAAACGGAAGAGGAATCAATTTCAGCCAGAAAGCCCAGAAATTTTGAGATTAATTTCAGAATTTTGTCAGAAAAAACTTGAGATTAGAAATGTCCAAGTTTCAAGATTGAAATGTTTTAAAAATTTTCTAGATTTTTTTTTTAAACATTTCAAACTCACAAATGTCAAAGTTTAAAAAGACAGGAACTGTAACTTTTTTCAAGGTCATTTCTGAGATTTTTTGGCAGAAATGTTCTCGTCTTCTTTTTCTTTTGCCCTAATTCAGTTAATATACAGATTTAGTTTCACACGTGCAGTTTTCTGCGTTGCTTACCAGGCATGTGAACCATCCTGCAGTTGCACACACGCATGACCTCGTTGGTCTCGCAGAGCAGGCGGCAGGCGCTGATGCTGTACGTGTCGTATCCCGGAAACTTCTCCCTGCTGGTGGAGCGGCAGTTCCCCCAGGGCTGGGGCAGGTAGGTCAGCTAAGCACACAGAGATTTATTAGACCAGGCTGAGCGAACGGTTTCAGGGAGGGCAGCACAAACAGCAGAAGAGCCGGGATGAGAAAAGGCCTACCCTTTGCTCCTGACATGAAACGAAGGTCTGGAAGCCGGGCGAGACGCCGAAGCCCAGCTGGTGGATGTAGGGAGGCTCGTCCTGGCTGTGGATCTGGACTCGGATGCCGGCCTCCAGGGACGTCTCATCTACGCGGCCAAACAATGTGAAGCAGAGCGTGAGAGTGCAGCGGCTGAAGCAGCGCGAACGCGGGGATTTCAGGAGTCTGCATCATTTGACAGCTCTGATTCAGCTTGATGCTAACGGCGAACCGCATTTCAAGCATGTTTGGGGAGAGAAAGCCAGCAGGGAAGAATATTATGCAGCAACAGAACAAGCAAAAGTATTGTGTTGGTCGGGAATTCCCTTTAACAAATCCCATGTTTTATGTGTAAAAGCTCTGTAAAAAAGACGTATGTTTTTGGAAATGTCTGCTTGTCTGTATGACCGGATTGAGTTCATTTTTCTGTAAAGTGAATGAAGCAACATTAAAATAAACTGAGTGAAGTCTTTTTAACCCAGACTGTTCTACTATAGCTCACCGGGTTGATAACCTGTCCGACTAACGGGTTTTCCAATATGTTTAACTTAATTCATATCCCAACTAACTGAGGTTCTCTGAACATGCCGAAAAAATCCAAACATATTCACATCCCAGGTAGATTTAGACTGAATGTAATCTTCTAACTATACAAAGATATTTATTTTGACTAGAAGTAATTTTGTTGAGTTTGAGCAGCTCGTATGGAGCTTGGACTTGAATTGGACGGGTAATCTCTGCAGAGACTGAAATTAAGGTGATTACATGGAAACCCTCCAAGCTCACACCCCAAAAACACAAAATCTTACCACAAATGACCAATTGTCTCGTTTCCAGAGGAGGCTTGAAATGAGACAAGCCTGACTTACAAGAAGATAGGAGCTTGTATTTAGTTAATAATTTCTTAATATTGATGAAAAGTACAAAATATAAGTGAAATAATCTCCCAGTTTATGGACTTAAAATATGGGAAACATGGTTTTCCACTGGCAGATTATCTCACTTATAACTAGGAGTTTTTGTTTTAAGCTAACTTAAAACAAGGTATTTCTTGCTGAAAAGTTAGTTTTGTCTTATTTTCACTATACTAAGGTCTTTTCACTATAAACTAAATCAAAAATACTTGGTAAAATTTAATGTTTCTGCAGTGCATGAAAAGGATAAAAGACTAGGATCTGACATAACTCTCATTACCAAAGAAAAATATTTAGTGTACCACTGGGAACATGGAAAAAGGCTTCTCAGCGAGTATTTGATATGCTAAAAATGAAAAATACGAAAAGATAGTTTTTATTTATTAAGAAATTACACGTCATTTCTAAAATCAAATGTAAATAAATATAGATTTTTTCTTTTTGTCATTTCAGAGAAGGTAATTTCAGATTGTTTGAAAATACATTTTTAAATCTAAATATGCTTAAAGTATGAATAATTTTAGGCTAGATTTTTTATACATTGTTGTAATTTGTAAAAACAGCAACACTTCTTAATTTTGCACTTTTTTTGGTCTTTGACTCATTTAAAAAAGTCCCAATAAAACACAGTGAGGTTTGTGGAATCAACATTTTGCAGGACGCTGTGTATTTACAGTGTGGTGCAGATAAAATGATGCGTTAAATGATTATTTCATGCTGTGCTTTGCGGCAGTGGGATGTTTGTGGGCCTTACTCGTCTCTTTCCAGATGGGCAGATACTCGTCCTGCTGGATATCCAACATGATCTCCAGCCCATTTCCCATCCCGCCCTGCTTCGTCTTCTTGGATGTCGTCTTGTTGCCATTAAAAGTGTAGCATTTCCCGTATCTGGTGTAAACCTGCACACACAGAGATTCGTATCGTCACCGCAAACATGACAAAGTCCACACGCCGCTTCTGACAAGCAGAGCATTGAAATGACTGCAGAGATACGGGGGCCGGAAGAAAAAATAAAAATGAACAAGCTGAATCTCTGCCTGAACAGGCAGCTGAATATTACCCAGAAACCTCTGGATGCAGTCTGCTGGCTCGCTCCCTTATGGGCCCAGATAAGCTGTCTTTGAATCAATTTCTGACACTACACAGCGCTGCTCAGTAGTACCAGCATCCCACTGTAATGTCAAAAGGACGCAGACTTTTTCTTTTTAATCTTTCCTCAAAAGGAAACAAAAGACAATAATAGGGAGGCTGTTTTGAATGAGCTATCACTGCTCCACCCATCAGGGGAGTTGTCTCGGTGGGGACACATATTCTCTTTGTTTATATCTCTCATCTGAGCTGCTGCACTGCAGAAAAGATTCAGCTTACAAGCCGTTTAACTGCTCCCTCCTCGGAGTTTTAAAGGCACAAACCGTGAGCCACATGCAAGCAAAAGAGGTGGTGCAGCACAGCCAACAAAATGAAAAAAAAATACAGATAGAAAGTCTGGCAATGTGTGTGCGTACGTGTTTGTGTGTGTTTTCTTCCCCTGGATATTTGATTCCAAGCGTAGGTTGTTTGGAAAGACTATTCAGCTGAGCACTTGTGCAATCCCTCCACTGAACTGTAAAGGTACAATCAGAACTTAGCAGCCATAACCAGGTATGGCAGGTGTCCAGTTCTGGATCTCTCTACAAGCTGATGCAGAATGCACCGTGCTCAGGCAACACACTCCTTCCAAAGACAGAGTGTGTGTGTTTGGCCTTTTAAGCACAAAACCACCAACAAATGGTTGGAAGGAGATTTCTTGTTTCTCGCATCTTTTAATTATTTGCATTTTTTAGCAGATTATGGTCTAATGAAGATGTTCTGATGAATATTTGTGCAAAAATGGTGCAATACATTCCCTGAGACGTTTGCATACACTTGTTAATGAGATTGCTTACAGAATGCTCAGTTTGATCAGAGTTTCAGTAAATTTCAAAATGTGATTAAATACAACTTATGTGCAGTTTAGTGATACGAGTCATTCATACATATGTGCCATTGTTACACATGAAAATGTTGGTCAATGGTTCATTTATTGTGGATCATAAGCAAGTCTAAACAGTTGGGATCTAAAACTGTAAGTCCATATCGCCACTTTCAACAGACTCTGGAGAAAAATCGGTGGCACTAAAACAGAGCTGCACCCCCTGCAGGCGCATAGTTTGTGGGATACTGTCACGGCGCCAGTGTTTGCTAAAGCACCACTATCTGTGCTCTGACTTTGATATCAGTTTGATACACCTAATGAGCCCTATGATGTCTAAATTAGGGATACTGGCTGAACAGCACAAGCTCTCATTTACAGACCACAGGGTGTATCCGCCTGTGAGACGGCTGAACAGCAAATCAAAGCCACTGTTATTGGATCCAGTCAAGTAATTCTATGGAACGGTGGGTAATTTTGCGATGTCCACAACAGTGATTAGAGCAGAGAAACGAGTAGCGTTTACAAAAAGCGGCTGCTCAGAGAGACAGCTGTGTTTTTTTGGTGCTGTAATATATCTCTGGGGCTTTGATCATGGTGTTTGAGCATGCTGGTTTGCACGCGTGTGTCTTTGAATAAATCAGAAATGGTTACACTCAAATTGAGTCCTGTTTGAGGATTCAGAGAAACGGTTGACAATTACAGATGGCGGCTCCCGCTCTGATGTGGATTTCCAGCCGCTTCTCTCTGCATTTTTTGTAAATTGCGACATCTTTTCAAGGGGAAGTGATTATAAAATGAAAGTTGGCAAAGGAGAGAGGGTTCAAGTACTCAAGTGTGACTTTTGACTGACATGTGCTATTAGGCTGAAATGGTTTAATCTCTATTTGGCGGGTGCTGCGGAGGTAAGCTGCACTTATCATTGATTCCCCGCCTCCACCCGGGTTCATTGACACACTTAAGCCTCAACTGGAAGTCTTTATCTGATGGAGCAAACCAACCGAGGCAAAGAAGGATTTTACTTCAGAAACGCTCCAAACAGCCGAACCAAGAGCCGGGGTTCCGCTCTAAAACTTCTGCCTCTGAAGGACGCCTGTGTGTCTCCAAATTATATCCCCAGAGAGGACGCACAATTTTTCCCATCATCTCACCCAGGAAATAGACGCTGGCAGAGCTTGCACTGCTTTGTTTCTCAGCGACTGAACTTTCCTCCGGCTCCTCTCTCCACACCCACAATGTGACTGATGGAGCATTTTCCTCTTGTTACATCCAGCACCAAATTTAGCAAAGGTAACAGGAATGACACGGGCAAATCCCAAGCGGGGGACTTGGCACTGCTGCCGACAAACTGAAACAAAGCGGCAGCGTGGAAGTTGGGCACTGAGAAGAAAGGATTTATTGTGTTGCTTTGAGTGAAACCAGAGCCATCACCTAACAGAGAACGATTTGCTTACGTGACATTTAAGGCATTTAAACAGTAGGCTTTGTTGAGCCAGTATTAACAATTGCTGAACCATTACAGAATCTGAAAGTAAGCAAAGGAGCCTGAATGCCAAATAATGGCCGTTTTTAATCTGTTCTGTGTGTCATATTGTTTATTTAAGGGTGTTTTCTTATGATAGTTTTATAAAGTTGCAGTATCTGTTACATTTGGTTCGCTTTCACGCTGCACTGCACCAAACGAGCCAAACCATTTGAGGAACCTGTTGACCCATTTGCTTGTGCTCGTCCTGCACCAAGAACCACTAAAAGAAATTATATGAAAACCTCTGAACCCTTTTTGACAAAATGTAAACAGAAGTGGAGCGGTGTCAGATTTGATCAGGATTTCTCTTGTTTTATAGGTGCTGATTACACTGGTGCCGGACATTAACAGAAGTTTTTAGTTCAAGTACTCAAGTGTCACTAATTTTGGGAGATTAGTGATTTTTACATGTGAAGTTGATCTTCTCCACTGACTCCAACTCTGCAAAGGTCTAAAAAAAAAAAAAAATCAACCACTGTCCTCTTCTGGTCTCCCGGGAGAGAGGTTTGACTGATAGACTGTTAACAGTTGCACCACTGTCTCCAATTCAGCAATCCTCTCGCCATACTGAGCAACATTTCAGCGTATCGGCCAAAATCTGAATGGGCAGGTAAGGCTTTTTAATTGGCCAAAAAAACTTCACCTCTAGTTTTTGGTAAAACATTTCTCCCACTAGCAATAGACTGTCACATTTGTTTTGGTTGCATTTACCCAGAATGCTCCTCGCTATAGTTCACTTCCTGCTTTTGGTGCCATCTCAGGTCCACATATGTTCACATATTTATTTGAATAGCATCAAAGTTCACTTCTAACGAAATGAGACCGAGGTTTTTAGAGTTAGCTGTAAGGGCCGGATCAAATTTTGCATTCACACCTCCAGACTTTCAAGACAAGTGAACTAGAGTTTGATTAAAATGGACCAACAGGGCGGGTATGACTGCATCTATAGAGTGTATTTCCCCAAAAAAAAAAACCCAAACTATTTTGCAATCACAAATAGACATTGTTTTTTGTGTGGAGATGTGAACAGCTGGTAGAAACAGATAATTGCTTCTACCAGCTGCTGGTAATTGCAGTGAAAGGTTTTTCTATTAAATGACTCGGGAGAGAAAACACGAATGCACCACAAAAACCAGGCATCTTTCAAATTTGCTTTGTGTGCCTCAGAAGAACACGTTTCTGACTGTAACGTGAAAAACTGTGGCAAAACACTTTATTTGAAGAGGTGTTTATAACACCTGACATGAGCACGGAGTCTTCAAAAACATTTACAGCTGACGTCATGAAGTGTCATTCGGTAAATGTTTACACTTTTAATGCATAGCTGTATTAAAAGTCCATTAAAAGTGTCAACTTTGCATTAAAAGTGACATTATTTATCATTATTTATTCATGTTAGTCTTATGCACACCTTCAAATAATGTTACCTAAATGTAAAAAAGTTGGTATGAATATTTTTCCAAGCCTTTCAGCAACTCAGATGATGGTCTCAGAAAATGTGATCAATTTCTAAGATAATTTTATGAATGTTTTTTTAGAAGAGCAGCTTGTTTTTTTGTGTTTTTGCTGTACATAATGTACCTGGAATGTCATTCCATATTTTTTTCTAAGTAACGATGGACGGCGTTCTGTTTTATCCTGCAGCCTCTCTTCTGTTTCTGTGTTTTTTGTCGACCTTGCTGGAAGAAAAACACAGCAAGGGGACGCGTTTCTCTTTCACCTCTCCTTTTTGTATTCAGCGATAGACTGCGGATGTTTATAAAGTAAAAGCAACGAAACGGCATAAATTACGTTGTCTTAACTTCTTTGGATGTGAAAGTGGAAAGGCACAAACATTAAGAAACACAGTTTTTCGTTGCCTGAATTCATCAAATTAGCATAAATTGTATCTTACCAATTACAATGTGAACACTTTAAATGCAAATTCATGGTGTGCCGTTTTGCCAGAGTTTTTCCACCAAAGTGCCTTGTTTCACTCCCTGCCTCTCCACGATAAATGCATTTGGAGTCCAGGCCCTTAGCGTGTAATTCAGAAGCCCTGGTGGGCTAAACCTTTAAACACCCTCGTTTTACGGCCGTGATCTGACAGTCCTAACTTCTCCCTTTTAGAGAATCTGCAGGGATCACTTCAGTGCTTCACCGGAGGACATCCATTTCCAGGCAGGCTGCATGTCATCGGGTGGTTCTCGGAGTTTGAGCAAGAAGGATTTGAATTCATTTACACAGGGTGGTGGTAAGTGTGAGAGCACTGATTGGCAGATAAAAACCATTAAGGCCGGCTCATGAAGGTTTAAGGTTGACAGAGAGCGTTTTCTGCTTTAATGGCTTCATTACAGCGTCTCAGCAGTGAGACTTGAATAACAATGTCACATAAGCTTACTATTTACATGTTTTTAATGTTCTGCTTGGATTGTTGCAGAGGT